AAGGCCGCCATTGCCTTGTGTGAGGAGCACAGACTAGAGCACAGAACGAAGCACATTGCTCTGCGGTACTTCCTGGCTCGAGAGTTGCAGCAGCGAGGCCAGCTTCGTCTTCGCCACGTGGCCACTCGGGCCAACACTGCTGATATATTCACCAAGGCACTTCCGTCTGGTGATCATCAGCGCTTTTGTACTCTGTTAGGCCTTGTGCCTACGTTTCCACACTTGCTGTAGTCTCTGCTTGTACTGTGATCTGTACATATATATATATATATATGCATGCTGGCTCTTGCTAGGTAGCCATCACTGTACTGTTATTGCTGCATATATATCTCTGCATGTGAACTGGCCCTGTGGCCCTTTGCTTGTGCTCGGAATGCGTGGTGACGTTGTGATCCACCCTGAGCTTGTTTTGTTTCTCTTGACTGGTCGTGTGACCTCTTGTTCTCCCCCACTTTGCCTATGGGGGTGTGTCAAACTATATGTGCTGCATATTGTCTAGGCTGTAGTGGGGTAGCCCATATGGGGTACAACCCAATTAGGGTTTACTACTTGTACTCCTGCATCCTGTTAGTTCAGTCATTACTGCTGCTAGATTCTAACAGCTCCTTTACATTTCGGCAGGTCCAAGGACCTGCCACCTAGTCTCATTCGCTACTTTCACTCTCTCTTGCTTACCACCAGCACACATTAAACCCTTCCTATGCCCAGATCTGGACATAGGAGTATCCTGTTAGAAGACGTAATTAATTTCAGATTTACAAAGATGGCTAGCGGACTCATTTCTGCTGCAAGCGGACGACCTCCCACGACGACAATGAATTTGCGGAGTAGCGGCCGTGCTGTTTCTCCCGTCCGTGAAGGAGATCGTGATTCCTCCTCCAGACGTGAACGTTCCCGCTCTCCTCGTGGAGGAGGTTCCGCCGATGTGACTGCTCTCGATTTGTTAAACCGTGCGCGACAAGCCTCTGCAAGGAGCCCCGGAGCTGCGGAAGGCGAGCGCGACAATTCGTCTCGTCGGGATTTTCCTCCCGGTTTTCACGGCGAGCGACGTGACGGGGGGTTACGCGGCGAATCGAACCAGCAGCCCGTCGAAAATGGTTCGCCCCGTCCTCTCGATCCTCCCGCCCCAGTACAAAACGCCACACGCGCGGCACCCTCTGGTCCTGCGCGTGCTGGCGATCGTAATGATCGCCATGCTGCGCGTCAGGACCGAAATGATGAGGGTCCTGCGCGTGGGCATGGCGATCGCGATCTCGGGCGCGATCGCAATCTCGACCAGCGCTCGGATCGCCAGAATCAGGACCAAAGGCGAGAATCGCGGCGTCAAGATTCTGCACCTTGCCAGGCGAATCCGCGCGCCCCACAAGATTTTCGAATCTCGCCCTCTGCAGCAGCAGATTTCGCCGAGATTCTGGCGCGTCTTGACCCGGCGGCACAGCAAAACTTTCAGCGAATATTCACGGGTGCTGCCGGCGAACGCGCTAGAGCGCGCTCCACTGCTTCTACAGCGTCCCGCTCAGCAGAAAATTACTCTGCTCGTTATACAAACAACGAGGATCCTGCCGCCGTCAACAACGACGCCGTCCACCAAATTCTCGGCCTCCTCGCCGCTCTTCAGCGCGGAAACAACAATGATCACGTGCCGCCTCCAGAACCTGCTCGCCCGGCGCCAGCGCCAGCGCAACGCTCTCGCCTCCCCCCGCCGGCCAACGAACCCGATGGCGATGACGCGGCGGACGCGGAATACGTCGAGAACGCGGATGAAGGTAATGCCACTCGCCCTAAATCTGGTTCTGCCACACTCAATCTCGCGCCTATTCCGCCTGCTCGCCCCCAGTTGCGCTCGTCCCTAGTTAAAAGTGATGGTATTCGCACTCAGCTTTTTAGTTTCGAGCGTATTCAAGCCATTGCACGCCATGCACTTTCCGTTTTACCTTCCAACGGTGCCGAGCGAGCTGCCGACTACCTCGAGCAAATAGACGAAGAGGCGGAGGAAAAGATTCATTTTCTCTTTACCGCCGATCAACGTGGTTTTGAGGTGGCCAATATGGCCTTAAAGATTAAATACGGCGAAGTGGTGGAGGATAAGAACGTCAAGGCCGCCACTCAAATCGTGGCGGCAAGCAAAAAGAGACCCAACCGCCCCACCCATGCGAGCTCCCGTGCGGACCCTCCCCCTCGGGGTCGAGGCCAAGGAGAGCGTAATTGGAACACATGGCGCCGGGACGGTGACGGGCGTTGTTTCTACTGCCGCGAACCCGGCCATGGGATTGCAGATCGCACTCAGCGTGGCGAAAGAGCCAATAGGCCTGCTAAGATTGTTTAAAGATTTATGTATGGTATTCTTACGTAGTTGGATCTTCCTTTTAATATTGTGGACAACTTCATACATTACAAGATTGTCATCGTGCCAAAAAAAAAAAAAAAAAACAAAACCTACGCACTACGTGGCGGTTAGACCAGCAACATTATGGTTTCGCTTGAAGCTAAGCAAAAAAAAAAAAAAAAAAAAAAAAAAAAAAAACATCAAATAAAAAAAAATCAAAATCAAAATCAAATCAATACTAATAAAATAGAGCGGGAGAAGAGATATTAAGAGGACCAGGCACAAGGAAAGAGTAAAATGGGGAAGTGCTCAACGAACAAGATGAGCTCGCGAACGCATAGCCACTCACAACATCTCTGTACGTGCCTCCCCGCACCCCCAACCAGAACACCGAGCGCGTGCCACTCTCAACGCGCCACCCACCGTTGCGACGCACATGCGTGGTCGTCTTGGTGCTTGCGCCAACTGGTGGGCCGCGTGGTGCGACAGCCGTTTCATCATGTCAGTGATCACATCCGGCTACCGCCTCCCATGGGTTTCTTCAGAACCCACGCCCCATTACGCGGCAAACCATTCGGGCGCTATTCAATACACTACATTCGCGGCCGAGGCTGTGGCTGAGCTACTGGCAACCGGAGCAGCCCGGGTCGTCCCCCCGTCGGAACCGCTAACATGCGTTAGCCCATTAAACGTGGTCGTCCAGCCGGCAAAAAAGAGGCTCATACTAGACCTCCGACATGTAAATACATTCTTGTCAGTTCCCCGATTTCGCTACGAGGGCCTTAACCGGGTGCCCGACCTGGTGCGTCAGGATGATTGGCTTTTTACCATCGATCTGACGGCCGGTTACCATCATGTGGATATCCACCCGGCCTACTGGAGGTTCCTTGGTTTCGCCCTGCAGGGTCAGCGCTATCAATTCCTATCTCTGCCCTTCGGACTAGCCACTGCACCGTTCGTCTTTACTCAATTAATCAAACAGCTTGCAAAACGGTGGCGTAATGGGGGCATCCGCAAGCCTCCACTCCAAACGGGGTAATATTTCGTTGCACCGAACCACTCCCGAGTCGCCTCCACTCCATTCGCAACCATCACCGAGCCATCTTCGCCCGACATCTCCGCCTAGCTAGGATTTCCCCTATTTAGTCATGCCATTCTCATTGTATCATCATTCAGTAGTTAAATATTCTCGTTATTCGTTTTACTGCGCACTCTGCAAGTTCATTCATAAGACATGCCTTTAGTGAGCCAGTGAAACAACAATTGAATCCTCAAAAGCAACCTGTGCACTTGGCCATGGTGAATGTTACCAAAATACGGGAGAACGGATGGTTGCCATAATCAGTGCCCTAGATATCAGACTTTAAAGTTTGATTCAGAGTCCGTTCATACTTTCTTTTTGTACCTAGTCTGAAGTCTAAGATTTTTTTTATGTACCTTGTCTGATTTTTCAGAGGTTTTTTTTATGAGTTGTCTGAAATTTCAGCCTAGTTTTTTAAGTGTAGGCTGAGCCTCAGACTTGTATCGAGGATAAACTCTGCGCGTTTATCGAAGCAAAGTTTCCTGGAAGTTTCCTTTCAATATGCCCACTTCCGAGATGGCAGTGGAGTGCCAGAACGTGGAAATAATCACGCGACGCGACGATTTTCAACTTTCGCTCAATCCTGTGGACTAGCCACGCGCCGCCCTCCCCAATTTTGAATATCTATCAATCCCATGGACTGCTACATGCGCTTTCGCGGTATTTTTACACTTACTCTCGACAGAGTGTTGAGGCTGTTTGGCTGGAAGTTACATTATCAAACAGGCATGGTTTACCCCAACCCCCCTTGTTTCTGTTTAATTTTTGGAGTACTAGGTTATACAGTGCCGTCGATGTTATTTTTTGGAGTATATATTGCACTGCCTGAGTAACAATCGAGTCAGCAAGCTGACCGCGGGCAAGAAAAAAACTAAATTGCGAGGGTCCTGAATCTGATTTGAAATTTCGTGGTAGAAGTTTCATGTTAAAGATTCGTGTACTTGATGCTCACTTGACAGCTCAGCTGCGTGGCAGATCGGGTGACCGATCTCATCGCTAGATACGCAAATCCATTGACAAAATTGGCACACAGGCGAGAAAATGGGTACAGAACGGTAATCACACACACGACAAAACGAAATGAGATCAGCAGAAACAACCGTCCGCTGCACGTGACAAAAACACCAGAATGCCGCCGACATGAGCAGTGGAGCACGTTGCCTGATGCGTTGGTAGGCTGTAATCAGCTCCAGTGCTATTATAACAATGCTTTTACGAAACTAAATGAACATCTTAAAAAATGAAAGTAACTCTGACAGTTCAGACAAAAAATGTTGTGCTAGTCTGAATTTTCAGACTAAAAAAAATAGGTAACTCTGACAGCCAGACTAGGAAGAGGGGTGTACTCTGAGGCGTCAGACTACCTCAAAACGAATCAAGGGGCCTGGCCATAATCCTGCCATGTTTATGTGGCAAGAAATTCATTTTGACCCTAAAAGATAGGGGCCTATACAATAGTAGGTACGGTATGGGGATCTACACTGCGACATGTTGCAACGAAGATAGATCAGCCAGATAATTTACATAGCTCCTAAAGAAAAGCCACAATGGGGCACATTTTACTCGGGCAGGAAGTCAGATTTACGTAACAAGCTATGAAGACCTTTGCAGGACATCATTTCTTCTGCCTTGAGAAAAGGTAGTGCGAGCAGTGCCAGATCCAACCAGAGGCTCCTCCTCGTCCTCAGACACCCTGTAGTGTGAGACGGAAAACATTAAGCATCATCAGGATGTATTTGAAACCGGTGGGATTGGACAAGCTGGAACATGCAGCTGCAGGCATGCCAGCAACACACTGCCTGAAACCAAAAGCAGCATAATACAATCCCATGCGCAGCTAAATGCGTTCCCCATGGATGTCACAATGCATTTAGCGGCACCAAAGGCATGATGCAGACAAAAAGCCCACCTGGGTTCAGAGCTCTCTTCTCCTCGGTTCCAGAGAGCACTGAGCTCCCCTCTCCGCCACGCCAACAGCACAATCACCCCTGCCAGGCCAGGCCACAGGAACAATGGTGTCAGCATGGCCGGTGCTGACACAGACTGCACGCAGTTACAGACCACAACTGACTACAGCATGTGGAGTGAAGCTGAATGAGAGTTTCAACACAGATGAAAGCAGTCAAAGTCAAAATGGGGGGGTGGGCGGACACGGGCTTTAACAAACGGAGAAGAAGGAAGAGGAGGAATTACCAAGAGTGCAAGGAACAAGGTAAAGCAGTGCTGGCTGTCCGTTGCCGCTCATCAAAAGCAGCCCCACAAACGTGAGCAGCAGGCCTGCCATGCAATGAGCAGCGGGAGCAGAGATGAGGTGCGCAACAAGCATGCAATACAATAAGCAGAGCGCAGAGAAGTGCGATGAGATAAAGCAGGCAGCAAGAAGGACGCGGCAGGGCATGCTAGAGCAGAACACAGACCACGATGTGCTTGAGTGCACGACATGCATCATGAATGTACAACACGCAACATCAATGCACAGTATGCATGGCAAACGTAAGCTACAATGAAAGCTTGCCACTCCCCAAGCAAAAATTTGAGAAAGGCAGTACCGTACCCACTGCATAGCCGATAATTGCAGGCAGGTAATACCCGTCCATGCCCATCTTCTTGGTAATGCAGTCATATCTGATGCATTCGGAAGACAACAAGACACATTGGAGAAGGAATTGAGAGTTTTAACAAAATTCTCACAAAGAAGTCAACGGCCATCCATGCCCATCTTCTTGGCGATGCATTCATATCTGATGCGCTCACACTCAAACAAGATGCACAGGGGGGAGGGGGACAGCCAAAGCTAAGACCACAGCTGACAACAATGCAAGTGCACTAACTCCAATTCAACGAGTCAAATTGCCTGGAAGAGTACGCAACAAGTCACCACAACGAGTCACCTTCTGGTGAAGATGACGAGCAGGCCTGGCAGCACGATGTGTCCAGAGCCCAGCACGGAGCATCCCTCCCAGGGATCCGTTACGTGCGGCACCTTGAGCTGTGAGAGGATCTTTTATGCGCCTAAGAAAATGAAAACCACAATCTACCTTCTTGTGAAGACAATGAGCAGGCCTGGCAGCACGACGTAGCCAAAGCCCAGCACAGAGTATCTTGAGCAGTAATATATGATTTTGGAGGTGCCTTGAAAGTGAAGGCAAGAAGCTCACCTTCTGGTGAAGACAATGAGCAGGCCCGGCATCACGACGTCTCCAAAGCCCAGCACGGAGTAACCCCCCCATGGGTCCGTTATGTGAGGCACCTTGAGCAGCATGGGTATGCCCTCTCCCCCGGTGCGCTCCCCTGTTGCCACCTGGGATCACCGGATTGGAGGGATGAAAAATGTGATTCGTAAGAGAGAATGAGACAGAAACAAACAAGATAACCTGGATGACAAACAGAGATGTGCGGTGCAGGTGCACTGACCTCAATCATGACGCTCTTTCCATTGAAGAATAGCGGCGAGATGAAGACCCAGAAGATGTCGTAGAAGAAAGCAAGGGAGAGCAGCACTGTGGACACCTGGTGCGAGGAGAGCGGCATGGTGGGCCAGGGAGAGACAAGATTAAAGGAACAGCAAGTGAAAGTGGTTACAGGACATGAAGACCCAGAAGATGTTGTGAAGTTTTGAGGCGCCTCCAAACTAGACTTCTCTCACTCGATATATGTGTAGATAGGAAAGATATGGGACATGAAGACCCAGACGATGTTGTTAAAGAAAGCAAGGAAGAGCACCATTGTGGACACCTGGTGGCATGGTGGGTCAGTGAGAGACAAGATTAGCGGCACTGAAAGTGAAAGTGGTAAGGAAAGACATGAGGGATGAAAACCCAGATGATGCTTTGGAAGAAAGCAAAGGAGAAGGAGAAGAGCACCGTGGACACCTGCTGAGAGGGGAGAAACAGGCTGAGAGACACGATGAGGAGAGAAAATGGAAAGACAAAGAACAAGCCCACGCATGACCCATGGCAGTGGACAAGGGTGGGGGTGCAATGGAGCTATCGAGGACATGAGGGCGTGAGAGTGCGAGTGTGCGAAAGTACAAGGACCAGGGGAGTTTTTGAGAATTCTCAAAAACACCCTTCAGCATCGTGAGAGTGCGAGTGTGCGAAGGTGCAAGGGCCGGGGGACTGACCTTGATGTTGGGCAGTCGCACTGCCTGCAGCACAGCGATCATCAGCGCTATGCCCTGCCGGGGGAAGGAGGGACGGGGAGGGAGGGACGGGGAAGGAGGGACGGGGAGGGAGGGACGGGGAAGGAGGGACGGGGAGGGAGGGAGGAGTGTGTGGTTGGATGCAAGGGGGAGGCGAGGGAAGGCGGGGTGTGGAGTGGAGTGACGACAGTCGTACCCCACCTCGTTTTATCTAAGGAGCCTCAAATGAAAACTCGCCTTAGAAGGAATCAGGTAGGAGCACTACCAAGACAGCAGAACCCCTTTTGCCCTTCCCCCTTCTCTCCCCCCCCCCCACCCCCCTCCCAACCCCCTTCACTTCCTTGTCTAGCTCATCCCAGGGTATCCTGCTTCCCCCTGATTCTATTTCCTTGCCCATACCAGGATATCCTGTGCAACCCATGCGTCTGGGTGGTTGCGGAAGATGGCCCAGGTGATGGTGAGGGCGAGGGAGAGCAGGAAGGAGGAGAGGGAGAGCCACGAGACGAAGCCGAGGAGGGGGAGAGTGATGCCGTGAGGCGATTGCAGTGGGAAGAGGCTGGAGGGAGGGAGAGGGAGAGAGATGAGGATGTGGGGAGTGAGGAGGCAGAGCGAGCAGAGGAGGAGTGAGGAAGAGTAAACAGCGGAGATGATTGAGAATAGAACAAACAACTAAGAGAGGAAAAAGCTTACGAAAAGCGAGCAGCGTGGGAGCGAGGGGAGTGGGAGGGAGAAGGATGAGAGTTGCAGGGGGAGGTAGGGCAAATTAGGGTGGGATAGGGGGCATGAGGAGCAGAAAAGAGGAGGGAGCATGTGAGAGAGTGACTGACCTGTGGAGGAGCGAGGAGAGGCACACATGGAGCGACTGTATTGAGAAAACACGATACAGAGGCATGCATGGGAGGGGCACGCATGGGAGGGGCACACATGGGAGGGAGGTCTAGTTTTGAGGCGCCTCACAACTAAACGAGGCACACATGGAGCGACTGTATTGAGAAAACAAGATACAGGGGCACACATGGGAGCGAGGTGAGGGAACAGAGGATTAGGAGAAACAGGATACAACAAGAAACATGTACAGATTTGAAGGGCTGTGAATTCAGTGCATGCCAAAGGAAGCGGACGGGGGGGGGGGGGGGGGGGGGGAGAAAATAAACATGACAGAGGACTGTAATCTTTTTTGTTAAGGAAAGCTGAGGTGCAAAAGAAAATTAGCCGCGCTTTCCTCCTCACTCCTCCCAGCTTTCACCCTCCCCATTACCCACCCTTCTTGACAAGCCATCCCAAACCAGCTATCTCCTGCCCCTTACCTCTAGCGCCGCGACGCAGAAGAGTGTGAGGATGACGTAGAAGACGAGCGGCGACATGAGGAAGAAGAGCAGGGAGACTATTGTGTCGACTTGAAGGGGCAACAGGAGGAGAACAGGGCACTGCAGAAGAAAGTAACAACTCCTCACCTCTAGCGCCGCAACGCAGAAGAGCGTGAGGATGATGTAGAAGACGAGGGGCGACATGAGGAAGAAGAGCAGCAGCAGCTGAAGTGAAAAGCTGCTCCTTGTTCCCCCCTAATACCCCTGTCCACCTTCCCCAATCCTCTTGGCATTTCTCCCATTCTGTGCCTCACCTCGAGAGCGGCGACGCAGAAGAGTGTGAGGATGATGTAGAAGACGAGAGGCGACATGAGGAAGAAGAGCAGCACCAGCATGACAGACGACATCACCACAAACCCCACTGCTGACCCCACTGACATGTCGTATGCTCCTGATGCCTCGGCCTGGGACTGATTGGAAGAGGGGGGGAGGAGGGAGGAGATATCAATGAGGGGGGGGCAGCAGCAGCAGCAGCAGCAGCAGCAGCAGCAGCAGCAGCAGCAGCAGCAGCAGCAGCAGCAGCAGCAGCAGCAGCAGCAGCAGCAGCAGCAGCAGCAGCAGCAGCAGCAGCAGCAGCATCAGCATCAGCAGCAGCAGCATCAGCATCAGCAGCATCAGCAGCAGCAGCATGACGGACGACATCACCACAAACCCCACTGCTGACCCCACCGACATGTCGTATGCTCCTGAGGAGTCGCCCGCTTACCCCCCACACTCCCCCCGCACCTGATCCGCCAGGGACTGCCCCGCGCCGCTCTTTCCCTCCAGCGCCGCCCTCTCCTCCGCGGCAGCCCACGCGGACGCGCCCACGAGCGACAGCAGCGCCAGCGCCCACAGCACCAGCTCCGCCACGTCCAGCAGCGCGCGTGGGGGGGCGTACAGGGATACGGTGACAGGGGAAGCGGAGGCGGAGGGGGAGGCGGAGGGGGAGGAGGCGGAGGCGTTGGAGAGGGCTTGAAGGAGGAATTGGCCTGACGAGTTGGAGACCATGACCACCGGAATAGTCACAGCGCCTTCAGTCAGGTCTGTCGCGTTGCAGCCCATCCCAATAATACCTGGTACAGGGCACCGGATTACAAGTCAGCTTGATATAGCTATATATTGCGTACGCTTATGCATTGAATCACATGCTGACACTCGAACACTATCTACCCCCCACACTTGTACCCGACGCTTACCTTCTTCACTGTTGATGACGATGGCAGCAGCTGCTCCCAGGCGCTGCACGCGGAGGGCCTTGGAGGCGAAGCTGCACTCTCCTCGCTGCACCAACACTGCCTGGCCCTGGAACTGGCATGCAGGAGACGGGAGGGAGACGGGAGGGAGACGGGCGGGAGGACAAGGACGAGTAAAACGTGAAGTCATGAAGAAGCGGAGTTTGGAGAAAGGTTAAAAAACAGCCAAGTATCGAAAGAAGCAACTGCGCGGCCGATTTGACTTCAGGAGCACGGTGTCTAACGAGGGCGAGACTAAAGAAAGAGGTTATGAGCTCACGTACTGAGGGGAGAGGAGGCAGGGGGTCGGAGCAGGCGAGCAGAGGCTGCATCTGCGCAAGGGAGAAGGAGAGCGCGTCAGCCTTGGTCTTGGGGAGGCCCGCGCCGAAGCTGGCTTCAAGAGCGAGGATTTGATGGTCGTTGCCGCCGCTGATGGTCGTGGCGTTGCCTCCCACGTGCACGCCAAGCTTGACCTGAAGTGAGGGGATGGGTGCGACGTGACTTTAAGCCGACTGGAAATCTATTTTGGGCGGAAAGCGTGACCTGAGGTGTGCGGGGATGGTGGGAAGTGACCTTAACTCGACTAGAAATCTATATTGGAAGGAAAGCACGACCCGAGGTAAGGGAAGGTGGGACGTGACTCTCCGTAGACTATAAAGTCGTATTAACAGGATTGTTTGACCTAAAGGTGAGGGGATGGTAAGGTTGTGATAAATTGTGAAGAAACTAGGAAATTGTACCAGGAGACAATATTGAGAAGGCAAGGAGAGAACCGCCGTACCATTTCCACGCTGTTATCGCATCCTTGTCGCGGCGTCTGAGCGCTTACGGACGACGGACACAAAATCAGGACAATAAAAAATAGTGATAATAACAGAAGCCGTCGAGACGCTACAACCGAAGTGTGCTGAACAAGCGTGCATGATCGGCGTGCACTTGGCGCCCAGGTCAACAATCGACGGTCCATCTCACGACACTTTCACGACACGGTTGCGAGTTGAAGAAGCGCGTGATTCGTGATGCTTCAGGAGGGGCGAGTTGGCATTCGATTAGAGACGTCCCGAACCTCGTGGGACCGGAATCTGCTAATCAACTATCGACAAGCGAAGCTTATCCTCGCTAAGATCCCGCATCGCCTTCTTAACGAGAATAAAAAACTAGGATGCCTGACCGGGGACCAACTCAGGCCTCTCCCGACGACGGGCACGAAGGGGAAGTTCGGGACCGTCAGCCGTGAGGGAGAGGTATGGCTGACACAGATAAGCCTTGCCAATCACGAAGTAGTGAACTCTTTTACACGAGAGTGCCGTTGTCAGGCAAATTCTAGGTTGAATTGGCTCTTCTGCTGCCTGGCATAGTCTAGGTACCACTCTTTACCGCGTGAGAACGTACTGTACCGTACTTGACGATCGAACATCGAGGATTCGAGGAATTGCCGAAGTTGGACGTGGACCGTGGTCGTCTGACACCACCCACACGTCAGGGCTTTCCCGCGCATTTGCCGCCTGTAAGAACAGCATTCGCTAAGATATACTCGTCTTTCTCTAAGTCGATTTTCTTAGGATGTCTTACAGGTGATATTCAGACCCACTAACTACTCTTGTCTCCCTGCCTGCTAAAGCGTGCCTCCTCATGCTCATGCTCCTCATCCTCATTACCAAAAAGCCAGACAATCGAGTCTCTCTTCCTAAAGCTTCTCCAATCCAGGGATATCCTCGTTACAAGTCCTAGGGAGCTTCCAGATAAGCTTTACGTTGTGCACACCGTTGGCATCAGTGCAAGAATCTCCAAAACTCTGGTAGTCATCTTAGGTGCGGGAGAACCCAACGAAAGCGAATCAGCCCAGTGGTACATATGCAAAAGCTTCCAAGTTGGAACCGCAATGATGCACATTACACTTGGGCTGGGCTCAGAAAATGTCTTCAGGAGCTACGATGAAGCCGCTGTGCAATAAATAGTTCCCTCTGCCGTCGGAACAGCTGGTGCGGACTGGGTTACCGTAGGTCCAACCAGTGGCTCTTCCAAGCTGTCCTCAGGTACCCTGCAGCAGACAAGTGTGAGACACACACAATACAGGTACCTCATCAGGGCGTGTTTCTCGCCCGCGTTTTTTAAACAAACATTCATCCAAGAACTTTGGATGAAACAGGTTACAACGTACAGCCACATCCAAACAACCCCCCCAAGCCATGTGCATGGGGCATTTCCAAGCATAATTGGCATCATGCACACCAAAAAACTCACCTGGGTGCGGAGCTTTCCTTTCCATTCCAGAGTGTACCGAGCTCCCCTCGTCGCCATGCCAAGAGCACTACCACCCCTGCCATGCACGGTCAATGACAAGAGGATGGCCGGAAACAAATCGGGTCAGGGTGATCATGGTAGCAAGAATACAGAGTGCAAGAGGTAGGTGGATATATGGATGCAAGCAAGGGCGGTGGTAAAGAGTGGTGAAGAGAGGATAAGAAACAAGGAAGATGGGACTTACCAAGGGTGCAAGGGACAAGGTAAAGCATCGCTGGATGTCCATTGCCGTTCGTGAGAAGAAACATTTGTGTTGCTTCATTGCGTGGGTGAGCAACAACGGTGAGCAGCAAGCCTGCAATGCACGGAGCAGTGTGACAAGAGTGCAAGAAGGATGTGGCAAGCCATGCAGGTCAGAAGATAAAAAGGAAACCACCTCTCTCGCAAATGAATGGCATGCGTCACAAAGGCACGGAAATGTCTCACAAAGCCATGGCAGCCATACAAAAGCATTCCACACTTTAGAGAGGAACCGAAAGCATGCAAGCATGCCATCACAAATGGCAGTATCTTACCCACTGCATAGCCGAGAATGGCAGGCAGATAATAACCATCTATGCCCAACTTCTTGGCGATGCAGTCATATCTGATGCACTCAGAAGGCAACAAGACACACAGGAACACAATTTTGTAAAAAAAACATTTACACAAAAAGAACTCCAACAGATGTCTATCAATTTGGTATCTGATGCATGCAGATACGTGGAGGAGTGGAGTGAGGGAGGACAGAGCAGTAGGGCAATGAGTGACCTGTTCCGAGAAAAATCGAGTTACTTTCAGCTAAGAACAGTAACTCACCTTCTGGTGAAGACAACGAGCAGGCCTGGCAGCACCACATCCCCAAAGCTTAGTATGAAGTATCCCGCCTGGCGGGCCATTACGTTTGGCACCTTGAACAGACTGGGTATGCCCTCAACCCACGTGCGCTCCCCTGCTGCCACCTGGAAGCACGGGATTGGACGGATGAAACCTGCGATTTGTCAGAGATAACGAGACAGCAGCAAACGGAATATGGCAAGCAAAAATGTATTGCAAAGAGAAACAGATGGTGAACAGAAATGGAGGGGGCAGATTCACTTACCTCAATCATCTCAATCATCGCGCTCTGACCTCAATCAAGGAGCTCTGACCTCAATCATGAGGCTTCTTACATTGAAGACCCAGAAGATGTCGTAGAAGAACGCGAGGGAGAGCAGCACTGTCGGCACCTGGTGCAATGGAGAAGGCATTGCCGGTGGCGAGGGACAAAATGAGATAAACGGCAAGCTTAGAGGAAAATAGAGGAGATGAAGTCACAAAAGATGTCATAGAGAAAAGAAATGGAGAGCAGCACTGTGGACATCTGGTGCGATGGACATGGCATGGTGGGACGGTGGTGAGAGACATGACAAGACGAAACGGAAAATGACAAAGACACAGGAAACATGAGACCCGGAAGATATCCTACGAGAAATAGAGGGAGAGAAGTACTGTGGACACCTAATGAGACGAATCGTGAGGCAATCAATCAGGGTGAAATTGCACTGGAGCAAGCGAGGGTGTGAGAGTGTGACAGTAAGAGGGTGTGAGGGTGAAAGAGTGGGAGGATATGAGAGAAAGAGAGTGGGATGGTGTGAGAGTGAGAGGGTATGGTGTCGGCACCTGTACTTACCGATTTGTTGCTTGTTGAGTCTTGTTTGCTTGTTTAGATTAGCTTAAGCTTAGTTTCCTCTGTGTGTTCTGCCTTGCTGACTAATACGAAGGACCATTCGAGAGGGTATGTGGGTGCGAGGGTGTGAAGGGCGCCGGGCGGACTGACCTTGATGTTGGGCAGACGCACTGCCTGCAGCACCGTGATCATCAGCGCGACGCCCTGATGTGGTGGGGAGGGGATGGGGGAGCGGGAGGCAAAAGGGCGAGGAGGGATTCTGAGGCGCGTCCAAGCCTCCAAGGCACTGCCTGCAGCCTGATGATCATGAGCGTTATGCCCTGAGGGGTGGGAGGGGAGGGGAGGGGGGTCGCCGTACAAAGCCAAAGGCTTACTCAGAGGCGCCTCAAACCCACTGCCTCAAAGCTTTAGTGATCACGTGGAGAGAGGTGGAGTGGGGGAAGGAGGAGCGTGGTGGATGCAATGGGAAGTGAGGGGAGGCGAGGTGATGGCAAGGGCACAGGTCGGCAAAAAGTCAACAGGAAAAGGTTTCGAGTTTGTGGGGGAAGTGGTCAAGTGAAAATTGTAACTGCAATACAATAACCAATCAAGAAACTGTCATTATCCCACCCCAAGCCATTATCTAAAAGAGGAAAACCCTCTGTAGTCATACCAGGATATCCTGTGCCCCCATGCATCTGGGTGGATGTAACCCAACTCAACCCAACCCAACCAAACTCAACCCTGTGTGGTCATACCAGGATATCCTGTGCCCCCCAATTGTTTGGCTCGTCGTCATGGAAGAAGGCCCAGGAGATGGCGAGGGCGAGGGAGGTCAGGAAGAAGGAGCGGGAGAAGCAGGAGGAGCGAGGAGACGGGAGTGGGAAGAGCCTGGAAGGGGGGAGAAGGAGAAAGGACCGAGGTGGGGAGAAGGGAGGCAGAACAATAAGAAGAGGAAAGAGGAATTGTAACCAACAACAGGGCTAGTTGGGAAAGAGTTGCTTGCATAGGAGCAATGTGGATAGTAGGGGGGAAGAAGAGTATCGCAAGGGGAGACAGGGCGAAATGGGGCGGGATAGGGGACATGAGAAGCAGGAAAGAGAGGGGGCACGTTAGAGGGAGGAGTGACTGATCAGTAGAAGAGCGAGGAGAGGCACACGTGGAGCAACTGCAAGGAGAAAAACAGGATGCCAGGGCGTACAGGGGCGTACAGGGGCATACAGGGGGGTACAGGGGCATACAGGGGCATACAAGAATGGGCAACAAGAAGAATGGCCAAAGTAGAAAATGAGGAAAAAAGGTGCAAAACACAACAGCCTCTCCTGGCTCCCCTCGCCTCCCAGCTGCCCCTTTCACCCTCGCCCCTGCCCACCCTTGTCTATCACAGTTGCAGTGCGACAGGACAACAAGTGCACAACAGCAAGTCACAAGCCATCTCAGACCTGCCAGACCTGTTGCAGTTGCAGTGCCCGTTCTCCATCTCAGACCTGCCTTCTCCCACGCCTCACCCAGATAACAGTGATGACGAAGAGCGAGCCGATGATGTAGAAGGCGAGGGTTGACAAGTGGTACATGAGCAGCAGCAGCATCACGGCCAATATCACCACAAACCCCACTTCTGTCACCGCTGACTTGTCGTTCGCTCCTGACGGGTCGCCTTGGGGCTGATTGGAAGGGAGGAGGTACGGGAGGAGCAAGGAGATATGGAATGAGGGGGACAGGAGCAGGGGCTAAAGCAGCATCACAGACGAGAACACCACGAATCCCACTGCCGACCCCACCGCACCAACGTGTCGGGGCTTATAGGGGCGGGGAGGGGGGATGTGGAGGGTACGGGGAGGGGAGACAGCAGCACTTTGAGCCGTCTTAACGCCCAATAGACTTCCCCACACTGCCCCTCCTCCCCCGTTCACCTTTCCCCCGCTCATCCCGCACCTGATCCGCCAGGGACTTCCCCCCGCCACTCTTCTTCTCCAGCGCCGCCTTCTCCTCCGCGGCAGCCCAGGTGGATGAGGCATCCTCCGCTCCCCCCGCACCCCCTTCTTCCCCCCCTTACCCCCGCTCTCTCCCCGTACGTGATCCGCCAGGGACTGCCCCGCGCCACCCCTCCCCTCCAGCGCCGCCTTCGCCCCCGCAGCAGCCCACGCGGACAATTAATTCTCCTTCCCCCCACCTCTTCCCCCGCTTACCCCTTCCCCTTTCCGCCCACCTGGTCCGCCAGGAACTGCCCCGCGCCACTCCTCCCCTCCAGCGCCGCCTTCTCCTCCGCGGCAGCCCACGCGGACGCGCCCACGAGCGACAGCAGCGCGAGCGCCCACAGCACCAGCACTTCCGGATCCAGCATCGGAGGCGCGTACAGGGAGACGGAGATAGGAAAGGGCGAGGTGGCGAGGGCAAGACGGAGATATTCTCCTGACGACTTGGAGATCATGACCACCGGTATAGTCACAAGGGAATCAATCAACTCCCATGGTTCGCAGCTCATGGAAACGATACCTGCCAAGTAACAGCACCAACGCACCAGCTTTAAGCAATCACAAACGAGACCTTTGTAAAAAACCACCGAATGCTACGCATTGAAACATATGCTCGCACCCAGAGACATCGTCCCGAACACTAGATCCTGACAAATTGGAACAAAGTTCAAAGTGCATGTGCATGTACAGACTCGCATGCCAAGTCCCACTCTGGTTCACATCGTCTGCAGGCAATACCTTCTTCTTCGTCGTTGACGATGATGGCAGCAGCTGCTCCCAGGCGTTGCACGCGGAGGGCCTTGGAAGCGAACCTGCACTCTCCTCGCTGCACCAACACTGCCTGACCCTGGAACTCGCACACAGGAGACGGCCATGAGGACACGGAAGGACGTGCTTGGACGTACGGTGCAGCATTGCTGAATAGAAGCAACTGCACGAAGAGTTGTCATAAGAGCACCGTGATTAACGAGGGCGAGGCTAATAGAAGGGGCTCTGAGCTCACGTACTGAGGGGAGAGGAGGCACGGGTTGGAAGCAGGCGCGAAAGGGCTCCGTATTAGCAAGAAAGAAGGAGTAAGCCTCAGGCTTGGTCTTGGGGAGGCCCGGGCCGAAGCTGGCAGTGAGAGCGAGGATGTCGTCTCTGATCGTGACGTTTCCCGCGTACACGATGAGCTTGGCCTGAGGTGCGGGGATGGTAAGATGTGAGTTCAAGTTGACTCAAGAGTCGTATTGGACGGATTGCTTGACCTGAGCGTGAGGGTAGGGTAGAACTCTGAAAGACTTGTGATAGAACTAAGAATCTCCATGTGAGAGATTATGAGGAGGCAAGGAGGAATGAGAGGATTGTGAGGAGACAACAAGTATGAAGAGAGGGTATGGCAAGAAGCGAGAAAATGTATCTCGGAGAACCGGCAAGTCCCACTGTAGCGCCACCTCCACAGCGCTACTAGAAGCTTTCCAATACCGAGCCTGTACGTTGTGCGTCGAGGCAATTTAGAGCACATAAGTAAATGTATGGTATTCATTTGAAACTCCGAATACACCAGCCAGAGTACATAAATTCAGATCGACCTAGAATCCATCAGCAGGAGTATGGAATCAATCAACCCAGTTGACCGACTGTCTTACCATTTCCACTCTGTTATCGCAGCCGGCTCGCGATGTCTGAGCGCTTACAGACGGCGAACACAAAACGAGGACCAGCGAAAACAGTGCTAATAACAGAAGACGTCCTGACGCTGCAACCGAAATGTGCTGTACAAGCGTGCATGATCGGCGAGTACTCGGCGCTCGGGTCGACAATTGACGGTCCATCTCACGACGGCAGCAAGGAACTTCAAGATAAGGTTCCTAGTTAAAAACTGCGAGCTAACAATGCTCCTCTACAATGCTTGAGGACGATAGATTCAACGACAACTGCGACTTTGAAATAACCGGAGTGTATCCTCGCTAAGGTCCCGCTTCTTAACGAGTGAAAAAGTCTGCGGATGCCTGGCCGAGGAACAACTACGGCCTCTCCCGAAGGAGGCACGGAGGGACATCTGGGGACCGTCAGCCGCCACAGAGCGCCATGGAAATGGCTGAAATCATAAAATGGTTCGGTTTTAGGGCTTCGGGTTTGGCCATCGCTGTCAAGGTGGTATGGAGACCTCGAGGTTATCTGATGGCACTTTCGAGGGCTTTCCCGCGCATTTGCGATCTGTGACATTGTTCTCGTTTAGTACGCTCGCGCCACATATTTACGGTTGGTTGCTTACATCCATGGCTGGTTTGACAAGATGAATGGAAGTCATGTTTTTTCTTAGGAAGTCTCTTATCATTCACTAACTACTCTCGTCCCCCTGCCTACGAAAGCGTGCCTCCTCATGCTCATCCTCGTCGTCCTCATCACCCCCATCCATTTCCTCCATCTCATTCTCCTCAGCTTGCTCCGCATTCTCGCACAGCCTCTCATACTCCCTGTAGATCTTCCGGCTCTTGAGCCATGTCATAATCGTCATGACCGCAAGCCCGACAATTGCCAGCCCTCCAAGCGCGAAAATGGCCATGTACTTAGGGCTCAAAGTACTTGAAGCAATGTATTTCACCTCCATGTCGCAAACCCCCGCCAGTGTCCCTTCCGGAAGCTTCTCCGACCCAGGGAGATCCTCGTTACAAGTCTTCGGAAGCTTCCAGATATATGTTACGTTGTGCACACCGTTGGCATCGGTGCACGAGTCCTCGAATCTCTGGTAGTCGTCCTTAGTGCATGGCGGGCAGAACTCATCAGGGGGCAAGGGCACCTGTGGATTTGGCTGGCAAAGCTGCCGGGTTGGAGGGGTTGGGAAAGGAAAAGGCAAGTCTCGAACGGGATGAACGGATGTGCCTACTTCTAAAGGTCCCAGGCAATTTGCTTAGCAGGACAAAACACAAGAAAGCCCTCCCAAATAACCAAACCTCGGTCGCCCCTCCCACCATACCCGCGGTGTCTTGTGTTTGTAGGTGAAGCGCTTGTTGTGAATGCAACTGGCAACAACAACAGGCTCCACGTCGAGCACAGTGCACAGCGCGCACGCATTCGCCGTGTGCCACACCATCTGGAACAGACACGACACCAGTGGTAACCAAACCCCCAAACCCAACCACCTCCGCTTCTCACCCTCCCCTTAACCAGCGTCTCTCTCCCCAGCTCACGTGTCCCAGGGATAAAGGGAGCGACATACTCGTGGAGTCTTGTACTTGGAAGTGAAGCGCTTGTTGTCAAAACAATTCGCCACTGCCACGGGCTCCATATCGAGCACAGTGCACAGCGGGCAGGCATACGCCGTGTACCACACCATCTGGAACAGACATGACACGGGCGCTCCTAACACACCCAAACCCAGTCCGACCACCTCCCCTTCCCACCCTCACCCAACTCCACCCAACCGGATCCCACGTCACCTGCCCCTGGGAGCACAGCGGGCATCTTACTCTTGGGGTCTTGTACTTGTAGGTGAAGCGCTTGTTGTCAATACAATTCGCCACAGCAACAGGCTCCATATCCAGCACGGTGCAGAGCGGGCACGCATACGCCGTGTACCACACCATCTGGAACAGGCATGACACCGGCGTCTCCCAACCCAACCCCCCAAACCCTACCACCCTCATCCAACTCCACTCAACCGGATCCCACGTCACCTGCCCCTGGGAACACAGCGGGCATCTTACCCGTGGAGTCTTGTACTTGTACGTGAAGCGCTTGTTGTCGATACAATTCGCCACAGCAACAGGCTCCATATCTAGCACGGTGCACAGCGGGCATGCATACGCCGTGTACCACACCATCTGAAACAGGCACGACACCGGCGCCTCTCGCCCCACTGGGATTACGTCCCCCGACCGATTGGCCCACGCGGGATATGACAGATTCGGGTCTAGAGCTGCCTTCTTGCCCCCCTCCGTCCATGGCTCTGGGTGGCCGTAGCCTGGGGGTGATTGAGAGGGAAAGAGAGCGTGGAGAGTGTCAGGAGGATAAGAATAAGTGAAGAAAAAGTGTGCAGGCGCTGTGCCGTGCACCACACCATCTGGAACAGGCATGAGACCAGACCCTCGCGCCCCACGCGGGGTAGGAGAGGGCTGGGTCCAGAGCTGCCTTCTTGCCCCCCTCCGTCCATGGCTCTGGGTGGCCGTAGCCTGGGGGGCACAGTGAGACAAAATGGGCATGGAGAGTGAAGGGACGTGAGGAAGAAGTGTGGGAAGGGTGTGCCGGGTACCACACCACCTGCAAGGGACAGGAGCCAGGCGCCTCCCACCCTATTGCTTGCCTCACCAGCCGCGGGGTCTCACCAGCTGCGGGGTCTCACCAGCCTCGGGGTCTCACCAGCCTCGGGGTCTCACCAGCCTCGGGGTCTCACCAGCCTCGGGGTCTCACCAGCCTCGGGGTCTCACCAGCCGCGAGGTCACAGATGAAGGTGAGGTTGGAGGTGCTGGGCTCATCAGACATCGGGCAGCTCTCCCCGTGGAACAACATCACCAGCCGCCTGGTGCATGAAGGTGCTGCTATGTAATCTACACAACATGCCCCACCCACCAGCCTCGGGGTCACAGATGAAGGTGAGGTTGAACGTGCTGGGGGCGTCGGACATCGGGCAGCTCTCCCCATGGAACGACATCACCAGCTGCAAGGTCAAGGTGCTGCCATAATAACCTAACTTCTTTGCCTCACTCACCAGCATCGGGGTCGCATATGAAGGTGAGGTTGAACGTGCTGGGCGCATCAGACATCGGGCAGCTCTCTCCATGGAATGTCATCACCAGCCCTCTCCGCTGCACTCTAGGTGCTGCTGCCGTAGCATAGACTAGATGCCTCACTCACCAGCCTCAGGGTCGCAAATAAAGGTGAGGTTGAAGGTGCTGGGGGCGTCAGACATCGGGCAGCTCTCCCCATGGAATGTCATCACCAGCCCTCTCCGCTGCAGCTGCGGCTGCGAAAAGCTTCCCAGGGGGGCCAGCGCCACTGTGTCCCCCAGGCTGTGGGCTGATGTGGCGGTGCTGTGCTCGTTCAGACTCGGGTTGATCTGATGGGGAAGGCGAGGAGGGAGAGGGGGGGAGGGGAGGAGAATGGACGTGCTGCCCAGCGGGGCCAGCGCCACGGTGTCGCCCAGGCTGTGGGCCGATGTGGCTGTGCTGTGCTCGTTTAGACTCGGGTTGATCTGATGGGGCAGGGAGGAAGTGGGTGGGATGGGAAGGGATGCGAGTGGATTTGGAGGGAAGTACACATGTGTTGTTAAGTGGCTTCCCAGTGTAGATGATGCATGGGTACGTTGTGGTTTGGGCCAGTCATGTTTGTTCACCACCTCACCCGTTGCCACCAACCCTTCAGGCACCTCAAAAAGCACTCACCCGGCACACATAGGTGTTGTTCAGCGGCTTCCCCGTGTACATGATGCACGGATACGTTGTGTTGGCTCTCTCTCCCTTGCCGCCACCGCCCCCCTTCCCAGCATCACTATCACCACTCCACACACCACCGCCCCCAGCTGCCCCACCGCCAGCACCAGCAGCACCCCCAGCAGCACCAGAGGAAACACCAGGCCGATACACAGGGTTGTCACTGTTGCTGCGAGCACACACCGACACATAGTATTTGGGCCCCTTCTGCAGGTCTACAAAGGAAGGGCCCTCATAAATCGGCCCCACGAGGCGCCCCAGGTTTTGGTGCGCGAGGGGGGAGAGGTCGTAGAGCAGAGTGTCTGTGGAGTTGAAGGAGCGCACGATGAAGGTGCAGAAGGAGGAGGGCGAGGTGACGTCCCCTATGGCGCACTCTGCACTGCCTTCGAGGGAGGTTGTGCCTGGGCCGCAGGGCTCACAGGCTGTGCGGTTGCCCTGCGATTGGTGGCAGGGGAACGTAGAGCAAAGGGCAAGAGGCGAAACAGGTTGAATAGGAGAGGGGTGAGAGGGGGGAGAGGGGGGAGGGGTTGTAGAGCAGAGTGTCTGTGGAGTTGAAGGAGCGGACGATGAAGGTGCAGAAGGAGGAGGGCGACGTCACGTCGCCTATGGCGCATTCTGCACTGCCCTTCAGCGAGGTCGTGCCTGGCCCGCACGGCTGGCAGGCTGTGCGGTTGCCCTGAGATGGTGGCGGGGTTAGGTAAGGGAGATAGTAGGGGGGTGGCGGAAGGGCAAGAATCAGTTGGCGTAAGAGCAAGCTGGGTTATGCACACTGCTCAGTCGCTTGATGAGAGCAAGCTGGGGCGACAAGGCCAGAGCGGAGAGCGTCACTGCACCACACCAAGGTACAGTGCGGTGCGGTGCGGTGCGTTGCGGTGCATAACGAGTTGTGAACGGTCACTGCGCCGCACCGCACCCTGCGGCTGCCCTGCAAACATGGCTTCAAATTCTCAGGGTCAGCCGCAATTTAAACTCACCGCTGGCTTGGGATTGAAGGTGTTGGCGGGGCACTTCTCACACAGCCCTTCACCCCCTTCGCTGTAGTACCACGCGGGACACTCCTCCCACGCGTCCCCACTCTGTCCCTTCTGCGCGCCTGCAGGGATGCGCACAGACCCGGGCGCGCCCCCCTGTGCCGCACCCCACACGCGCACGCTGTGCAGGATGGCGGAGGAGCGGGATTGACAAGCAAACTCACCGTTGGCTTGGGATTGAAGGTGTTGGCGGGGCACTTCTCGCACAGCCCTTCCCCTCCTTCGCTGTAGTACCCTGCAGGGCACTCCTCCCACGCGTCCCCACTCTGTCCCTTCTGCGCGCCTGCAGGGATGCGCACACACCCGGGCGCGCCCCCCTGTGCCGCACCCCACACGCGCACGCTGTGCAGGATGGCGGAGGAGAGCGAATGACAAGCAAACTTACCGCTGGCTTGGGATTAAAGGTGTTGGCAGGGCACTTCTCGCACAGCCCTTCCCCTCCTTCGCTGTAGTACCCAGCAGGACACTCCTCCCACGCGTCCCCACTCTGTCCCTTCTGCGCGCCTGCAGGGATGCGCACACACCCGGGCGCGCCCCCCTGTGCTGCCCCCCACACGCGCACGCTGTGCAGGATGGCGGAGGAGCGGTCTACGAGGGTGCGATCAGCGTTGAGTGTGACCCACACCCACATGATGCGGTGGCTGCCTGCTGCCAGCGCCCACTGCTGGCTGCTGCTTCGACCCACTGGCACGCTCACGCCCATGCTGCCCCCGTCCTGAGTAAAAGGAGGTTGGGGGAAAGGATAGGAAGAAGAGACCGCACTGCAAGTCAACTCATCAGTGACGTCATTCAGCAGTATCAACATTCAACACCACACAGCACCGCCCATTGCACCTCCCACCCACATGGCCATCGCACCTCGATGTTCTCGAGCAGGTTGTCATCAACATGGAAGAAGAGACCACGCTGCGAGTCACCTTATGGGTGATACCACCCACCTGAAGAACACAGTGCACTCCTTACCACCGCACAGCACCGCCCATCACACACACACATACCTCAATGTTCTCCAGCAGGTCGTCAGCGACATCACTCAACAGTAACAACATTCGATCACACAGCACCGCACAGCACACCTCGATGTTCTTGAGCAGGTTGTTGTCCACATAGAAGAAGAGGCCGCGCTGCAGGTCAAACCAAACGGCGACATCACTCAACAGTAACAACATTCGACCACACAGCACCGCACAGCACACCTCGATGTTCTCGAGCAGGTTGTCGTCCACGTAGAAGAAGAGGCCGCGCTGCAGGTCACCAGGAGGGATGTCAACGTCAAAGTCGTACGTGATGTAGCCGGGGATAGAGAGATTCACCGTCAGTGCTAGCCATACCTGGGGGGAGGGGAGACGAGGGAGGTAGAAAAGAGGGAAAGAGGATGGTAACAATCAGGAGGTGGGGGTATGGCAAGTCAATGGAAGTCATATGTTGGTGTCATTCACTGTCAGCGGCAGCCACACATGCAGTGAGGAGGAGACGAGGAGGGTGAGAAAATCAGGAAGTGGTATGGTATGGCAAATGGGCAGGCAAAGTCGTATGTGATGTGGCTGGGAATGGTAAGATTCACTGTCAGCGCCAACCACACCAGGAAAGGAGAGAAGGAAGGAGGATGGAGGGGTGAGAAGGATATGGCACATGGACAGGCAAAGTCGTATGTGATGTACCCAGGAATGGTGAGATTCACTGTAATGGCATTTTACTAAACGCACTTACAGAGGCAGCCTTGCCGTTGTTCGCCCCAAAATCCAGATAATCCCCCAACACCCGCCACCCGCCCGACTCTCGAGTCAGCTGAGAAGTCACCTTGTTACAACAATGGCACACGACTCACTTACAGAAGCAGTCTTGCCATTATCCATCCCCAAGTCCAAATACCCCCCCACCATGTGCGATTTAAAAAGCACTTAGCTAACGAACACACTTACAGAGGCAGTCTTGCCGTTATTCGCCCCCGAGTCCAGATAATCCCCCAACACCCGCCACCCGCCCGACTTCTGTTTGAGTCGACTTAAAAGTACAAGCACACGGCACACTTACAGAAGCGGTCTTGCCGTTATTCGCCCCCGAGTCCAGGTAGTCCCCCAACACGCGCCACCCACCCGACCCACACTCCCCACTGCATCCCGTCTGGAAGCCGCTGGGAAGCTTCCCGTCCTCCACATTTTGGAAATGCTCCAGCAGGAGCACCTTCACTGCCGCCTCGCCAGGTTGGCATGGGTGGCATGTTTCGTCCGATGTGGGGGAGGGCGCTGCTGGGGGAGGGGCAGCCGTGCCTGGAGGGGGGAGTGGTGGCACTGTTGATGCTTCTGAGGCATTCCGTGCTGTGCCCTGGAAAAGAAGAAGGGGGGAGGAAGAAGGGAGAGGACGGGAGAAAGGAGCGTGGGGATGGGAAGAAGAAGGAGAGCAACAGGAGGGGAGGAAGGAGTGTTGCAGATTGAGCAAGACAATGGGAGGTGGGTGGGGGAGAGGGAGGGTGGTTAGGCAGAGAAGCACGATACAGGGTGGCAGAGAAGCACGATACAGGGTGGCAGAGAAGCACGATACAGGGTGGCAGAGAAGCACGATACAGGGTGGCAGAGAAGCACGATACAGGGTGGCAGAGAAGCACGATACAGGGTGGCAGAGAAGCACGATACAGGGTGGCAGAGAAGCACGATACAGGGTGGCAGAGAAGCACGATACAGGGTGGCAGAGAAGCACGATACAGGGTGGCAGAGAAGCACGATACAGGGTGGCAGAGAAGCACGATACAGGGTGGCAGAGAAGCACGATACAGGGTGGCAGAGAAGCACGATACAGGGTGGCAGAGAAGCACGATACAGGGTGGCAGAGAAGCACGATACAGGGTGGCAGAGAAGCACGATACAGGGTGGCAGAGAAGCACGATACAGGGTGGCAGAGAAGCACGATACAGGGTGGCAGAGAAGCACGATACAGGGTGGCAGAGAAGCACGATACAGGGTGGCAGAGAAGCACGATACAGGGTGGCAGAGAAGCACGATACAGGGTGGCAGAGAAGCACGATACAGGGTGGCAGAGAAGCACGATACAGGGTGGCAGAGAAGCACGATACAGGGTGGCAGAGAAGCACGATACAGGGTGGCAGAGAAGCACGATACAGGGTGGCAGAGAAGCACGATACAGGGTGGCAGAGAAGCACGATACAGGGTGGCAGAGAAGCACGATACAGGGTGGCAGAGAAGCACGATACAGGGTGGCAGAGAAGCACGATACAGGGTGGCAGAGAAGCACGATACAGGGTGGCAGAGAAGCACGATACAGGGTGGCAGAGAAGCACGATACAGGGTGGCAGAGAAGCACGATACAGGGTGGCAGAGAAGCACGATACAGGGTGGCAGAGAAGCACGATACAGGGTGGCAGAGAAGCACGATACAGGGTGGCAGAGAAGCACGATACAGGGTGGCAGAGAAGCACGATACAGGGTGGCAGAGAAGCACGATACAGGGTGGCAGAGAAGCACGATACAGGGTGGCAGAGAAGCACGATACAGGGTGGCAGAGAAGCACGATACAGGGTGGCAGAGAAGCACGATACAGGGTGGCAGAGAAGCACGATACAGGGTGGCAGAGAAGCACGATACAGGGTGGCAGAGAAGCACGATACAGGGTGGCAGAGAAGCACGATACAGGGTGGCAGAGAAGCACGATACAGGGTGGCAGAGAAGCACGATACAGGGTGGCAGAGAAGCACGATACAGGGTGGCAGAGAAGCACGATACAGGGTGGCAGAGAAGCACGATACAGGGTGGCAGAGAAGCACGATACAGGGTGGCAGAGAAGCACGATACAGGGTGGCAGAGAAGCACGATACAGGGTGGCAGAGAAGCACGATACAGGGTGGCAGAGAAGCACGATACAGGGTGGCAGAGAAGCACGATACAGGGTGGCTGCAAGAGCTTCAAACGGGGCAGGGATTGGCTCGGGGCAGATGGCAGAGAGAGAGGGTGAAGGCAGCGAGTAAGTGGGGACTTAGAGTGGGTGGGGCAGACGGTAGAGAGCGAGAGAGAGAGTGAGTGGGGTGAGGGCGTACAGAGGGGCAGAAGGTGCAGGTGAGAGTGTCAGAAGCAGAATCCACAACCGCGTATTGCCCTGACGGGCATGGCTCTGCACACATGGAGGGTCAGAGGGAGGGAGAGAGACATGTGCCAAGGAACGGGCAAAAGAGAGAACGAGAGAGAAAAATACACGGAGGTGATTTTTGAGGCACCTAAGATCGTCTCATCTCAGAGAAAGGAAGAGCGGCATGTGCCGAGAAGTGGGCATTAGTGAAAGAAGAGAGGCAATGACACACACTGCCATGACAGCCACGGATCCATCCAATTGCTGCAGAGATGTCTATTCTTGAGGCGCTCCAAAAGGAGGCAATGACACACACACACTGCCATAGCAACCATAGTTCCATCCATGTGCTGTAGAGATGCAGAGCTAAGGGGCAGCAATTCACAACTCGGCCGAGAGGCGGTAACGTTGGAAGAGAGGAGAGCCGTTGGCGTGGGAAGAGAGGACAGGCGGTTACCGCATGGCTCGGTGGAGAGGTGGTTGTGCGGGAAGAGAGGCGGTTACCACATGGCTCGGTGGAGAGGTGGTTGTGCGGGAAGAGAGGCGGTTACCGCATGGCTCGGTGGAGTTGGGAGGGAGGCCGTGGGCGGGGTCTGCCTGGCAGACTTGGGGGGAGAGCCACGACCACACTCGCGTGCGCGTGCGTGAGGAGGCAGAGCAGGGGGTGAAGGTGGGCGTGGCGTCTACTGTCACGTTGCACACTGGGAGGAGGGGAGGGAGGAGTCAAAGAAGGCTCAGTTCTCTTCGCATGCGTGTTGAGGCAGAGCAGGGTGTAAAGGTGGGCGTGGCGTCTACTGTCACAATGCACTGATTGGGGTGATGCACTCGCCCCTCACTGATTGGGGTGATGCACTCGCCCCTCACTGATTGGGGTGATGCACTCGCCCCTCACTGATGGGGGTGATGCACTCGCCGGAGATGATATTGGGAGAGGGGAGGGGAGAGGGGTGGCATGGGAAGGAATGATATTGGGTGACAGGAGATGCACGGACGGCCTAGTAAGTGCATGTTTCGGTGCGCGAGGAGGCAGAGCAGGGCGTGAAGGTGGGCATGGCGTCTACTGTCATGTTGCACACTGGGAGGAGGGTGGGGGAGGGTGTGGGGATGGGTGACAGGAACGATTTAAAGTGGGAGGAAAGGTTCAAGAAGAGCGGAAGATACAATTGGGTGGGCATGCGTGTGGGATCAGGGTAGGGGGTATGGCAGCCACCGTGACATTGCACACTGTGGTGGGGTTTGAGGGGACGAGATTGGGGGTGCGGGGAGGGAATGATATGATGATATGGGGGGGGATGAGGAATTTGGGAAGTCACATGGTACCCACGGATCATGAGAAGGGGTTATCACGTGGAAGGGATGCACTGAGTGGGAGCACAGCATGGTGAGGGCGCACTGCATGGTGAGGGCGCACAGCCTGGTGAGGGCGTGTTAAAGGCACTCACGAGGGCGCGGGGTGCACTGGGTACGGGGCATGGTGAGGGCGTATGTGGTGCTGTTGCACGCCTCACACCTGCCCGAATTCTCTCTGGTTGACGGTGGCCCGGGAGGGGGGGGGTATGGGAGGAAGGGGAGAGAGGGGTGGGAAGAAAGAAACTTGGGAATGTGCGGAGAGCACGGTGAGCACGGTGAATGGAGAAAGACTTCTGAGTCGACTCAGAAGTCACCTTTTGGGTCGACCCAAAACTCACCTCGAGAATGTGCGGAGAGCACGGTGAGCACGGTGGAGGGAGAAAGACATCAAGAAGCGAGGGAGCGAGACAAAGGAGTAGAGGATGAGGGCGGTCATAAGCAGCAGTGGGATGGCTTTGGGGGAATGGATGCTCGTGAACATGGCGCTTGGATTCCGCATAATGGCTGCTTGCTTTGTCAAGACACGATGTGCTATGAATGGGAAGGGAAGAGGAGAGAGAAGAGAACGAGGAGAATTAAGAGACTGAGTCGAGGGGAAAGTGAGGAGAAAGAGGAGAGAGATTAGAGAGGAGAGAAGGGAGAAAGCGCACAGAGAGGGGAGGGAGAGGAAAGAGAGAGGAGAGAGAGGAGAGAGGAGAAGAGGAGGCGAGGGGAGAGGGCGGGAGGTGAGCGTACGCTGAGATGTGGTCAGGAGGGCATGCTGTGCAGTTGGTGGCTTGCTCCCCACTGATGAGAGGAGCGTGGTGAAGGGGAAGCGCAATGCCATGCACACAAACACACACGCCCACATGCAAACACACACTCACTCACCTACCCACCCACCCGCCCGCCCTTCCGCCCCTCCCCCTCAACACCCAGACACACGCACACATAAGCACGATCACACGCACATAGAGGCACATGATGTTCGTGCAAGCATCCACCCAGGAGGAAAATCCACAGCAACAAAAAGCAATGTGAGTCATCACGTAAGCGCACTGATAATGCAGCAGCAATGGAGGGAACATACGGAGGAGTCACAGCAGAAGCGACTGGGAAAGCATATGCATGGAAGAGGAGACGAGTGGGAGGAGATAGAGGATATGGAGAAGTGGTTGGAGTTGGAGACGAGTGGGAGGAGAGGGAGGAGTGGTTGGAGAGGAGAGGGAGGAGATAGAGGAGTGGTTGGAGACAGAAGAGGGGGAGGAGTGGGACGAAGTGGGTGTCAGATACAGGCAAACATCCAGAGGAAGAGCCAAGAGACATGCGCATGCAACAGGTCAGAAAGCGAGTGGAGAAGCAGACAAGACCTGAAGAATCCTGCAGGGCATTTGAGGCAGGTTGAGTCGGTGTATGCCGTGCCGTCCACCTCCAGAAACTGCAGAGGAGATGCGAAAGAGAGGCATGCAGAAAGAGAGGCATGCAGAAAGAGAGGCATGCAGAAAGAGAGGCATGAAGAGCGTCAGACAGAAAGAGAGGAGCACAGAAAGTGTGGTCACAGTAGGGCCACTCGTAAAGTTTCAGAGGCAAAATGTTTTGACATGGTTCAAACGAAAAATACGAAGGACGGGCTGGCAACAACTGGAAGTTGGATTCACTTATGGGATCGCTAACATTGAACTATGGCGGGTGTGTCAAGGACCAGAAATGGAGTGGCAAAAGCCAAGCCACACTGGTGTTGTGATTTCCCTGCCCTGTGTGAAGGACTCCGCCTGCCTGCTGTGAGTTGTAATTCCAGTCGACTCAAAACACAAACTGGTTACCACACTGGCAAGAGCCGCACCTGAATGGCAGCAGAGTCCCTGCCCTGTGTGAAGGACGAGTCCTTGACATAGGCCCACACAAGAGTGTGCCTGCCCGCTGCCAGTGGGAAGCGCACCTCCTTGGGGTCGAACTGTACGGACCCACACAGGGACATGGGAAAGCGAGAAGACAGGGCTTGAATACAACCAAACGTGAAAAAGTGTAGCCCACACACCCGAGCGTGTGCCTGCCCACTGCCAGGGGGAAGCGCACCTCCTTGGGGTCGAACTGCACAGGCACAGGAACAAGTGGGACATTGGGGACAGGAGGGTTGAGAACAGCAGGTTAGAGAATGAGAGGACAGAATCTGGAAATAAGTGGAGCCCATACGTGGTGTGCGCACCCCACCTGCTGAAAGGTGGAAAGTGGAATGAGGAACTCACCTGATTGTAAGCAAGCAGCATGGCGGGGGTGTTGAGGTCGTCGATATAGAACACGAGTCCGTCCCTCTGCCTCTCTGAACTCACTGTGAAGCGGAACGTGACGTACCTGGTGGTAGTGATGGATGGGCAGAGAGCGAGGAGGAAAGTGGGGGATAGGAAAGGGACTTTTGATTGAGCTGACTCAACGGTCATGGCTCCGAACGCACTGTGAACCGGAATGTGACGTACCTGGTGATATGTATGGGAGGAGAGGGAGGAGGAAAAGTGGATGGGAGGGTTGGTGGGAGTGGTAGAGCGACACATGGCAGGCCAGAAGGGCAGGGACGGTGAAAAGCGGGAGGACAGAGAACAAGAGGAGAGATTGCCGGAACAGAGACGAGAATGCTGAAAGTAAGAGTGGCTTTGATGAAGTTACATTTGACTCACCCATCCCTGACGAGAGTGAGGGGCAGCTTGAGCATGGATTGCAGGTTGTTATGGCATGTCATGTTGGTGAAATATGCACACTCCTCCTGCTCACACAGCAACAGCAACAGAGATGGATGACGGTTGTGAACTGGTTCCTTTACATGGATAACAGCCAATCTACAAACGGAAATAAACATGTAAACGCCGCTATATGAGAGCATAATTATTGCATGCAACAGGCACATGAGCATAACTAAAGGCGACAATTCATCGTGCAATGCAAGTACAGCATTTACATGGACCGCTGTAAAGAGCAAAAACAACGCATTCCTTGAACTCATCAAACAATCCCCACCCATCATACAAACCCACCATACAGGCATCAGAAAGCATCCACCATACTCAACACACAAGCACCGCACTGCACACCTCGAGCCAGTAGTTGGCAGGGTCGTAGGAGCCCACTTTCAGCTGCCCCTCCTCTGCATACCACCCCTCACAGGGGAACGTGCCTGTGGCGTTGTTGAAGGAGCACTCCGTCTGTATGGCGATGGGTGACGAGGGGGAAGAGGGAGTGGGAAGAGAAGTCAGGACTCACACACACACACACACACTGCCCCTCCTCCGCATACCACCCCTCACAGAGTAAGGTGCCCGTGGCATTGCTGAAGGAGCATTCGGTCTAGATAGCAATGGGTAAAGAGGAGCGGAGGGGGGTAGCAGGAGTCGGAATGGGAACGAGAGAAGAAGCAGGAAAGCCGGGCTTCACACACTGCCACACCAGGGCATAGAATGGCATGGCACGAAAGAAAAAGGATCCACTAGTGTAAGAACGATGTGAGGAAGTTGTTGGAACAAGGCATCCGTAAATTACGACACCCAAAGACCTTGAGGTCAGGTAATTGGTTGAGCACAGCTCCCACCTGGTAAACCTTGGGGTCGGCTCACAAGGCACCAACCTGGAAGACCCTTGGGTCAGGTAGTTATGGAGCACTGTTCGTACCTGGAAGACCTTGGGGTCGAGGTCCTTAAATGCATCCGTATATTACGACACCCAAAGACCTTGAGGTCAGGTAATTGGTTGAGAACAGCTCCCACCTAGAAAACCTTGGGGCGAGGTACTTGTTGTGGCGCACAGGTCATACCTGAAAGACCTTGGGGTTGGCTCACAAGGCACCCACCTGAAAGACCTTGGGGTCGAGGTTCTTAAATGCATCGTAGCGGAAACCGCCTCCCATGCTGTACGTGCCTGCATAGGGTGCACCACGGGAAACAGAGGGGTGGGGAGGGATGCTTTGCGATGTGATGTGATGTGATGTGATACCAGGGCGAAGAAAGAGGAGGATTTGTTCATATCCAGCCAGAGGTGTCCTAGAAGTTATGCCTTGAAATCATCTCAAGGACCAGCAAGCCTGCGTTGATTTCAGTACTTCCACGGTGTGTGACTTTGTGACTTCCATCATACTGTAAGTCACTGTTGGGCCCCTTTCCCCGCTCCCCCTCCGCATGCACACAGACCCATGGATTGCTGGTGGTACGCACCTGCGGGGCACTTGTGGCAGTTGTTGCCTTTGAGGAACATCCCCGGACCACAGCGTGTGTCTGCACTCACATGCACGCCATAGGTGCCATAGATGCCATAGATGCCATAGATGCCATACATACCAAAGATATCATAGATGCCATACATACCATAGATGCCATATATGCCATAGATGCACGCGCGGACAGGAATAGACAAACATGCATGTAATCGTGCATGCAATGCAAGCATGCAGATAGCAAGGCACACACACGCGTGGGCATACATGCATGGAGAGAAGCCACACAATCACACAGGAATGAGCAAACGTATGTGTAACACACACACGGGACCATGTGTGCATTGGGATAAGGGCCATCCATCCACACAGAGATGAGCACATGTACACATCGGGAAGCGCATGCATGCATTGTTTACGCGTGAGATGTGTATGCATGCATGCATGGATGTGTGTGGAAGCATGCAGCTGCGCATGCATGCATGTGCGCAAGCATGTCTCACCGCATGGGATGTAGTCGCTGGGTGGAAGGGCAAGGGAGCCGCGAGCAGCAGGGTTGCACTGGTTGTCAAAGTAATACACCACCTGATGGCGGGAGAGGGGAGGATATGAGGTAACAGGGGAGGGAATATGAAGTTATTAAATCCACACGCCGCAAGCAGAAGGGTCACACTGATTGACAAAGTAATACACCACCTGACGGAGGGGGAGCTGATATGGGATGACGGGGATATGAACTTAATGAAACGTCCTTTGAAGCAGGGTTGAACTGGTTGTTGAAGTATACACCATCTGGATGATTGAGGTTGAGGAGAACGGATGCGGTGGTTGGGGAGAGGGATATGCGGTTTATTGGAGAGTGTTTTGAGGCGTATACACGCCCCGTGCTGCAGAATTGCACTGGTTGTGGAAGTATCATACCAGCTGACTGGGAGAGGATATATACCAGCTGACTTGGTGGAGAGAACGGTGGGGAGAGCATGGTCGAGGGAAGACTGAGAGAAAACCTGAGTGCGAAAGCGACGAGGGCGAGGGGAGCGGAGCAGGGGGATAAGAGAAGGGGACGCTCCTGAATCATGCGTGTCTTGGAGAGCTGCTGGATGGTGGCTGGGTCACGGATGTAGTCACACGTGAGCCAATCCAATCCTCCAGTTAGGATTGTACATACGTTAGCCACTAAAGAGCAGTGTCGAGCCTCTAGCTGATTCAGCAAGTGAACGGCAGGAGGGGGACGCACCTGGATCATGCGAGTCTTGGAGAGCTGCTGGTTGGTGGATGGGTCACGGATGTAGTCACACGTGAGGTACATGCTCTTCACGTTGGCTTCTGTGCATGGGACGGGCTTCAGCTCTGGGCATGGGCATGGGTACGAGCATGGGCAAGTGAGGGGTGGAAAGTGCTTGTGAACGGCCTCAACCTAACGGATGTAGTCGCACATGAGGTACTTTCTGAAATTTCTCAAAAATCACGTGAGGTACATGCTCTTCACGTTCGCCTCCGTGCATGGGACAGGCTTCAATTCTGCCCACGGGGATGGATGTGGCCATGGCAGCAGGTGCAGGCATGGGCGCGGCCGCACCGGCAAGGGAAGGATGGAAGGTGTGTGTGAAAGGCCTCGCTGCCTCAGTGATGTAGCTGCATGTGACGTACATGCTCTTCATGTTCACTTCCGTGCATGGCATGGCTTTAGCCAAAAAAAGGTATGGGTATGGGTACGTATGGGTATGGGTATAGGGATGTGCATTGGTATGGGTATGTGTGTGATGTGTATGGGTATGAGTATGGGAACGGTATGGGTATGGTATGGGTATGGTATGGGTATGGGTATGTGTATGAATTTGGGTATGGGTATAGGTGTGGGTATGCATATGGGTACGGCCAAAGGCATAAACCTGCTGCTTGCACCTGCTGCGTGCTACGTCGCCTGTTGCCTGCTGCTTACCGCAGAAGAGAAGGTCAACCGGGATTCGCTTCGACTCCTGCCCTCCCTGGCAGTCTGCCACGCATGGTTGCAATCAGGGGGAAATTGCAGTGAGGGAAAAGTGAGAAACGTTTTTTGGGGGGGAGAAAAAGGACTGGATGCGGGTGGGGGAAATTTGCAGACGAATGCAGTGGGGTATGAACACAAGGGGTGCTACGCCGACTTGCTACATCCAATGAATTATGCGGCCAAATTTGTGTCCACTAAGATGAATCAGTTGAACCACTCACTGCTTGGCCGATACTGCAGGTAGCATTTCCCATCGTCCCCTTTCGAGTACTCCCTTTCATAGTCTGAAGGCGTGCACTCTGCAAGCACGCCAGGGGACGTGAGGGATTACAAGGCACAACAGGCCAGGGGACGTGGGGGTCGGATCAGTCAGACTGCTGAATCTACAGATCTGGGTTTTTCACAGGCTAAGTCCTGGTACAAATGAACATTCAACGCTTAAGAAAGCCTTGTCCTAAACTGCAGGGAGGCCAGGCGTCTAGTCTAACAGCAACAATGGGAATTGCGATCGGATGAGGGAAGGGATGGACAGGGAGCTGACCTCAGGGCTCCATGCGAAAAGGAAGAAGGGAAGGATGGACAATTGGGGATAGTGCAAAGGAAGAGGGAAGGATGGACAAGTGGGGATAGTGCAAAGGAAGAGGGAAGGATGGACAAGTGGGGATTGCGCAAAGGAAGAGGGAAGGATGGACAAGTGGGGATTGCGCAAAGGAAGAGGGAAGGATGGACAAGTGGGAATTGCGCAAAGGAAGAGGGAAGGATGGACAAGTGGGAATTGCGCAAAGGAAGAGGGAAGGGATGGACAAGTGGGGCTGACCGCAGGGCTCTTTGCGAATGCTTTCGAACTGGAAGGGATCTGTGCAGTTGCGATTCGCCTTCTCAAAGTTGATCTCCCGCTTCCCATCTGCCACACCACACCGCACCACACCACACCACACCACACCACACCACACCACACCACACCACACCACACCACACCACACCACACCGTGACACCGGTCCATCAAAGCAGCATAATAAACTTCAATATGTCTCAAAACGTGTCGCTCTGCGGAGGACATGGCGCAAGATACACAACGGTCTCAGCCTCGTGTGACAATCCTTAGCCTGAAGCGATGCCATGCAGTGGTATCACTTCGATGCGGCACTGTCGTGCTGAGCTGTCGCGGCGCGTCCATGCTAATGATGTGTATGTCATCATTAGCACATTCTGATAACTCTCAACGAAAGTCGTACCGCTTGTAGCAACTCTCAACGGAAATCTACGACAATACCAGATCGAACTTGACAGAACGGAGTCATTTTGCCACGAATGCGTCGAGGTTACCATGAGAGCACCTACACGAAAAGCGCTTCACTTACTGCCAATAACTCCGCAAGACACCGTTACTACAACTCGCAAATCACCTTGACAGGGGCCGGAAGCTCTGACGTAATCCGTCAGTTCGCACGTCTGGATCCCGCTGGATTCTGGCAGCTGGGCCACCGTCCTTTCGACGCAAACGAGAATGGAGAGAAGTAGGGTAGTGATCAACAACCTCACGCGGACTGGCGCAGACACGTGATATTCAGATCCCCTTATTGATCTGCGACGTAATCCTTTAAGGATTCGCGGTGCTTGAGAATCCATAATCGCCAGAGTTGCTGGGAGTCTAACGCGCGAGCAGGGACCAGGGAATGAAAAATTAGTGAAATATGAGATTCGTCGTCGTTAATGAGTGAGGTGGACAATGGCGGACACAAGAAACGAGCGAGTAATGAGTCGCCAGTCGCCGCAAGCTGCACTAATCCGATCGACAAAGGTCATGGCAATGTAACTCGAACGGCTTCCACTGCCTAATTCAGGGAACTCCTCCCACCGCCATGAAAGCGACAGCGAATCAGGGAGTGAATGCGATGCGAATCAATCGGCAGTGAGACTGTGAGGGAGTGGTGTGCCTTTCTGCTTATCAACAAAAGTGGGATTGCCGAGATGCGATCGGGACTTTCAATAGAAGCACAATCGCAGGTCAGACCACCCATACTGCCAGCATCCTTCACATCTCTACACTTGCTATCGCTGGCTTGTTCCAGAAAATAAACCAATCCAACAAGAGATTATTGGTTGTGCACTCAAAACACACTACCGTATCGGATACCTCACATTCACAGTCCGTTCAAGCATACCACGCACTGCAATAACACAATTTGTCCGTTTAGGCTACCTAATTGATTTCCTCCATATCGAGGATGAACTCCACAAGCTCAGCCTTGCGCATCCTCGAATACCCCCGCACTTTCCTCTCCTTGAGCAACGATTTCAAATCCTGGGCAGTCATCGCCTCCAGAATATCTCGCCTCTTCACCCCCCCATTCACACTCGACGCTGCTTCCACCACCGCCTCGATTTCTCCTGCATTTTCTTCTTGACTCTCCACAACCTCTTCTTCCACAGCAACAGCGACTGGCGCATCTGAGACAGGAACAGGTTCCAGCTGTTTCTCTTCCGCAGCAGCAGTGCCAGACAGGTTCAGAACAACTTCTGTAAAGCGGGTGCCTGGGCGCGGTCTGGACTGGAACCTTGGGAATTGGCGCTTGAACTTAGAAGGCAGCCGGGGGGGGAGTGACGAACGCCACCGCGTGGCTGCTTCGACAAGCTCCTGTTGAAAGAGAAAGAGAGAAGATTTAAGTGTTTGGCCAATGATGGAACATGACGGGGAGAGAGAGAGGGGGAGGAAGAATGGGACATCAGACAACATGGACAGCATAAAACAATGTGAGGGTTCATTTTACGAAGCTGATCGACAAAGCTGATATGCAAAATGATGGTCAAGGTGCCATGGATGGAGGGATAGAAGGGGGGAAACAAGCGGACAAGGTGGTTGAAGTCCCGGTTGAAAACAAGGCTGGCGATTCTCTTATGGAAAGATGGCTGGAGACAGAACCGTGATTAAAGAGGTCATGAATGAAAGTGGTGTGGACTGTGGGGGATTGCTGCAGACAGGGAAATCATTCTCGCAATGGGTTCGTATTGGTCTGGGTTTTGGGGTTTTTGGCACCAATGTCAACTTGCAAACAGCAAAGAGCCCGAGTTTTCTTTCACATGCGGACACAGAAAGATGCAAAATTTTGCGAGTGCTTTTATTCTTTCTCCTCCGCAACAGTCGCAACTCACCGATTCATCATCGCTGGACTCGAGCGCTGCGGCCGCCGCCTCCATTTTCCTCGCCATGGCATCCTTGAGCGGGCTCCGCTTCACAAATCTGGTGGGAGGCCGTTCGGGGATCGCAACAGCGGCAGCAGGAGCAGCAGTGGTGGCAGACGCATGGTCAGCAGAGGCAGCACTCTCAGCAGAGGCCTCACCTGCTGCAGTAACCACAGCTGCCCTTTCGTCCTCGTGAACCGCAGATGCTACTTCCGCCACCGCTCCCGCCACCGCGCTCCGCTTAGAGCTCTGCTTGCGCCGCGCATTGGCTACAGGGGACCGCTTCGCGAACCCCATGGGGCGCTGACGCGTGGCGGCACCTCCTACCGCTGCCGCTGGTTCTGCCGCTGCTACTGCCGCCGCTGCAACTACCTTAGGCTCCTCTACCGTGGCCGGAGCTGCTGCAACTGCTGGCTCTACTTCAGTGGACTCTGCAGGCTCCGCCACGGCTGCTGACTCTGCCTCGGCTGCTACTGGAGCTGCTTCGACTATTGCTGCCTCCGCCTCGACCGCTGTGGGAGCGGCCTCGACTGCTGCAGGCTCTGCCTCCTCGGGAGTATCGGCTAATGCGTTGTCTGCTGCCGCAGCAACTTCTACGGGATCTGCGCTCACCTCTTCTTGCACTGCTTCAGTAGCAGTTGCTGCTTCTGCCTCCTCTGCTTCCACTCCTGCTCGAGCAACCTCCGCAACCTCCTCTGGAGCTTCGGGCTCCGCCGGTGCAGCTGTCTCGGCTACCGGCTCTGGCGCAGGCACTGGCTCGGGCTCAGGTTCCGGCTCGGGAACAGGCTCGGGCTCTGGTTGAGGTTCGGGCTCTTGAGCTTGCTCGGGAGCGGGTTCTGAGGCAGGTTCGGAAGTGGGTTCAGGTTCCTGTGCGGGTGTCGGTTCAGCAGAGACTTCGGGTGTAGGCTCTGGCGTGGGATCGATCTTTGGAGGCGCCGAGGGGTCGACATCGCCGAAGGAGTAGAGGACGGTGCCGTCAGGGAGCTCTGTTCTCAGTTAGAGTTGAAATGTAGAGAGGCAATGGGCAAAGAGGCGAAATGTACAGAGGCAATGGGCAAAAGGTTGAAACGCTATTTCCAATTTGCTAGGCACTTGTGGCTCGATGACTAGGACCGCTAAGTGATAAAGGATTAACGTTCTTTTATAAAGCTTAAAACGGACAGGGAGCGGCCGTTCCAAACATGCATTTTTCCAACTTAATAACAATGCATGGAATGAAAAGATAGGTGAAGATTTGACGCAAATAAAAATAAGATGGAAGTAACTACCTTTGATGTCGATAATGTCGAAGAAAGGAGGAGGCTGGTTTTCTTCGGTTTGGGCTGCCATGGCTACGCAACGCCGAGCATGACTGCTTGACCTCGTTGAAGCCCATGGTGCAACCGATACCCGGTTAAACGACTTAACTCCTCCAGCAGGGGTCTCCGCGGCGACATTGCTTTTCGCTCTATTTAGCGAGGCCGCCGGATGCGGAGCACAGAGCGACAACATCGAGGTCGCCGCCGCCGCACGGCTGCTCAGCATTGTCACACTCTGGATTGAAGCGCGCGAAGGCCAGAGAGCTCTGGTCAGCACAATAGCCAATAACAAGGACCTACAACGACGATGACACCCACAACGACAATGACCTAGAGACAATGAGAAACGAGGACCAACGCAAATGTTCCTGTGTGATGTTGGGTTGGGGGAAGTTGGGACTTGGTGCAATGCGGCCGCATTCAAGCATGCGATTTCGATGACATTTGCCTGCTTGAGTACATCGACTCTCAACAAATAATTATTAAAAGAACGCACTGTTCTACGGCTGTTATTAGGGGTGCTTATTTGAGCACATCAAAGTTTCAGCAGAAACGATTCCTTGGGAGTTCCGCTGGGCAGACAGTGCAGAATCACCAGATGAGCTGGCGGTGAGCGGGAAACTGTTGTACGTGTGGCCCAGCGTCCCTCGCGCGCACATAGTTATCCACTCACGTGAACCCGCTCGCTACAAGGGGGACTCGCGATAAGTATACTCGTACAGGGAATCGCAAGCACTGTTAATTTGTTTTCCAACTGGAAATTTAGCGAGTATAGTTTGCAATTTGGCATCCACTCTTTCTCAGTCTCAAACGAGTATACATCCTTATGGCACCAAAAGCGCTGCATGCAGCAGCCGCATCTCCAGCAGGTACCGCGACTTGCACCGAGTATGTCAGCTTTTCTGCCTGTCACATGGCTCTCTGCTCCGACGTATTTGGGGCAAAACCGACTGCTCGATATCTCGTCGCGTCGTAGTTCTCTCGTGCTCGCTGCTCCGCATCCGTTGCGCAGGAAATTTCTGAAGAATTCCAGCCACGTAACGCAGTCGCAACGTTCGCATCTGAGAGTGAGAGCATCGGCGTCGGAAATGGCGTCGGCTTCCGCGGAAGAAGCGGCGTCTAAGCCGCTCCACGCGGTGGTATGCGGGGGAGGCGTTATCGGCGCGTGCACAGCGTTTTACCTGGCGGAGAAGGGGGTCAAAGTAACGGTCGTCGAGAAGTGCCACGTGGCATGCGCAGCTTCCGGGAAGGCGGGAGGATTTCTAGCTTTGGATTGGTGCTCAGGCCCCACGGGAAAGCTCGCGCAGGTGAGAGTGGAAATAACGATAACAAGTCACATTTGAGAAGAAGTATAAAGCGCCACTAACACAGTATGAACTTCAGTAAGAAAATTCTTCATTCAGCTTGTTCAAAAGCCAGCAAAAGCCAGCAAAGGCGAGTATATATAGTCTATTCCCATTTGGCTCCCCTCTCCAATTCTGTCCCCTCCCTTTTTCCCTACCAGCTGAGCTATCGCCTTCACGAACAGCTAGCACAACAGTTCGGCGACTGTTACGGTTACCGCAAGGTGCACACGCTCAGCCTCCAGATCACCGAACCCAAGAATCCCTCCGCTGCTGGTGGGAAGCGAACAAAATTTTCCATGCTGCCTGAATGGATAGACGGGCCAGTCCTGGGAGTCCAGACGATGGGATCGCCAGCTACAACTGCCCAGGTTCACCCACAGCTGTTCACGAAGACTCTGCTTAGAGTGGCTGGGGAGAGGCATGGAGTGAAGGTACAACTGGGGGAGGTTCAAGACGTTGCTGTGGCGCCAGTAGGGGATGCTGGTGCATCCTCTAAAGTCACTGGTGTGATTGTAGATGGTGCTACAGTGCCAGCTGATATAGTGGTGTTCGCGCTCGGGCCTTGGTCTGGCAAGAATCGTCTCATAGCACGGCTGGGCCAGATCACAGGTCTGAAGGCGAACAGTGTCGTGGTCCGGCCTAACCAGAATTCCGAAGCTGTGACAAACCATATGCTCTTCCTGCAGTACAGGTCAAAAGACGGGCGGCATACAGACCCGGAAATTTACCCCCGGCCATCCGGGGAAGTTTATCTCTGCTCCGTCACTGATGGGGATAATTACCTTCCGGATAATCCCGAGGAAATCGCCACCACTCCAGGCGTCCCGGAGTTTTTGAAACGAGTGGGATCTACTGTGTCGTCAGCACTAGCAGATGTGACTGTAGTGAAGGAGCAGGCGTGCTTCCTGCCATGCTCCCAGGACAACGTGCCAGTAATAGGCGCTGTGCCGGGGATGCAAGGGGCGTACATAGCAACGGGGCACAGCTGCTGGGGCATTTTGAATGCCCCTGCTACAGGCCTGGCTGTAGCAGAGCTGGCAGTGGATGGCATGGCTACCTGTGTGGACCTTAGACCCTTTGACCCTGCTAGGTTCTTGTAAATCATTTGTTGTCGAGTGTAATTCTTATGCACAATGTTGGCTTCCCCTCTCGTAATTGGTTGCATGTGGAACAGTGGGACCCATGCATGCTAGTGTACAAGGTGAGTTGAGTCACATAGCAGTGTGGCACAGGTGGTTATTCCTTGTGCCCTTGCTATAGGCCTGGCTGCATAAGTGATGACAGCTCATTTCACTGCCAGGATGCAAATCGAAATGTAATATATGTATCATTACTGTCAGTTCAGAACTCCTAGTTCCCAGTTCTTTGGTTCAGTGGGATGTTTTTAGCAGTATTCTTCAATGATAGTGAAATACACCCTATTGGAATTGTAGCATTCATATCAATTGGTATTGTCTGGCGAGGCGTGCGAGGGTCCAGCGTGTACAGGGGAAGCGAGTGGAGGATATCAGTATTTCCAAAGCTGATGTGGCGATACCATCGGAACACATGGCATCTTTTCCCAACAGTACTGAATTGGCGCGGAACTTCGATTTCGTGGTCGCGTGTCGTCAGCAAGTGGGAATTTCGAACTTTTGTACAGTGCTGTAGGGATGGTACCTTTGCCGACATCCCTCGTCCATATCGACTGTACATTCCCTTTCCCGCCTTTTTCTCCCCCACTTGAACTATCGACAGCCAAAGCGCATCGGGTCGACGGGTGGATATGGACGGAGCCATTTGACAACTCGACCCAGCGCTCCGGATGAACAGTCGTAATCCTTTACTGTACATGGTTACAGCGCTGTAGGGCCTCACTTGCCCGCTGACGCAAGGCCACCCGTATCGTCACACACGCGATTCGGAAAGCAACAGCGCCAAACACACTGACACGCCGCCGTGGAAAGGCGAAAACCCTCCCCACTCGTAGAAAGTTTTGGAAACAGAAATTTTTACGTTGCTCCACATTTCTGAGCCAAGGAACACGCGGGTCTCCATTTCAGGAAAAGATGGGTTATACACGGCATGCGATATGTTCACAAAGATGTTTCTGACCGGCATCAGGTGGTGGTGACCACCACACCTCACAGAACTACTGCAATCCGCCTCACTGCGGTTCTGGGACTGAACTGCCCCAAGCACTCGTCTCCCCCAGCACTCATCCCTCCTCCGAGCTCGCCTTGCTCCAAGGTTGTTCCTCTAGTCTCCTCACAAAGCAGGAACACAAAATCACGCGCGAGGGATAGCGGCAGAAAAACACCCGCGAAACAGAGCGGCAGACTGAGCAGCACACCCCGACACCGTCACCAGTTTGCAAGGAGTTCGGTTAGGAACAACCAACGTCTAGACACACGGCCCATTTGCTTGGTAGCTTGTATTTAACACAGACTTAGAATCTATAAACTCTTGTTTCATGATTTCGGAGTTCAATTTTCATCCCTAATTTTCATCTGAGCGACCAACTAGCTTCAGTCGGACGACGCTGGAGATCGACCACCATCATTCGCCCCCATCATCAACCTGCAAACCGCCTCCATCCGCCCCCCGCCCCCCGCCCGGCCCTCTTTTCGATCTCTAGTGGTAAGCTGAAAGTTGATGGCTGCTTGTTTTTACTTCATCGCTTTTTCAGATCATTGTGTTATAAGTTCTTCATCTTTACCTTCGAGCTCTTACTCTTCTGTGTTTGTAATGTTGCAGGTTCAAAACACCTCGTCCTCTTCAAGTCCCATGACGACTCTACATGTGACGATCTGCTGCTCTGCAGCCATCAAACAAGACATTTCACGGCTCTTCAATCTCAAGCCGTGCGTGGCGGACATCCTGCCGCCTGCTTTCATCACGCTGTGCTGCTCTCCATCTTCAAATCGTGGCCTGACGCGATCTGATGCTTCACAAGGACGACTCTGGAGATCTTCCGCTACCATCCGCCTCCATCGCCGACCAACAAACCGCCTCCATCCATCCATTCACCGCCCCCCGCCCAACCCGCCTATCGATCTCCAGAGGTAAGCTCAAAATATTTGTGTTTGCTTTTTCTATATTCCTGTTAAGCATTTGGTTCTGTGTTTCTCCACGTATACTTATGATTTCTAATTCTTTTGTGTTTGCATCTTTGCAGGTACAAAACATTGCAGTCCATTGGCGAATCTCCATTGACGAACAAGCCGCACCGCTGCTGCCTGTGGCGGAACAACTGAATCGTGCTGCTGCCGTTTGAAGATGTGCAATCGAGCTGCTGAAGAAACCGCGCTGCTGCAACTGAAGAAACCGCGCTGCAGCAACCGCGCTGCTGCTCCTCAATTTCAAGCCCTGCGTGGCGGAATGACGTGCTGCTGCCGTTCTGATCGTGACGTGACTCGCTGGACGTGGTGCTGCCGCGCTTCATCACGCTGCCAAGATTTTCAGGGGAGTGTTGCCATCGCTTCATCACGCCTTTTAACCTTTTTTTTCCCATCGCTTTTCTTCGTTTTTGTTTTCGCCATCATCGCCCGTTCGTTAATCGCTCGTTTTCCACCGTCCCTCTGGTTCACATGGCTGTAGCTGCAGATGATCCTCCGCGGGTGGGTAGATTAGCATGTGGGTTTTGGGTAGATCAGAGCGTCTCCTCCCTCTGTGCCTGCAGCCTGTGAACCATGGACGTTCCGCCTGTTTTGTTATCTTCGTCGTTCGTTTTCGTTCTCGATTTCGTTCTTTTGTTTTGCATTTGTTTTCCTTTTGTTTTTCCTTCTTCCCATTGCTGCATACTAACTTCGAGCATCCGTTTGTGCCTTCCTTTGCTTTTCAGGAACACGAAATGACAACAAATCTGCAGAAGCAGCGAAGGCTGGCGGAGTTTGAAGGACTTGACGCGGCGGCTGGCGGGTGGAAAACGCCGGAGGTGCTGCACGATCACCCCCCTGCCGCCGTTCAGCCAGCTGCCTTTCAGGGGAGTGTTGCTTCCCTAGCCCGCTGCCTTTTTTGTCGCTTTTTCAATTTCGTCGTTTTTGTTGATTTTCATTACCATTTTATCACCATTTCACCATCGCCCACTCGTTAATCGCTCTTCTCCACCGTCCCTCTGGTTCACATGGCTGTAGCTGCAGATGATCCTCCGCGGGTGGGTAGATTAGCGTGTGGGTTTTGGGTAGATCAGAGAGTCTCCTCCCTCTGTGCCTGCAGCCTGTGAACCATGGACGTCCGCCTGTTTCGTTCTCTTCGTCGTTGGTTTCCACATTCATTTTCGCTTTCGCACTTGTTTCCCCTGTGATTTTCCTTTTGTTTTGCTGTTTACTAACTTCGAGCATTTGTGTGTGTTTTCTGCCCCCGCCTTTCAGCAACAACGGATCACGTTGCTTGAGAGTGGAGGCGGACATGCAACGAGCGCGGAGGCTGAGGCGGATCTGAGGCACAAATTTCTACACGCGGAACTTCTTGGTAAGTTTCATGTCTTCTGCTTCATCTTGCTGCTAACGGTTTGCATCAGTTTCGGATTTTAATCGGATTATATATACTAATGAGTGCCTGTCCTTTTTTTTTTAACAGGAGCAAACAACAAACGAACGGCGGGGTAGCCTACAAAGGAGCAGCTGAGATGGCGGATGTGCAACCAAGAAGAATTTTTCCTTCAACCAAGGATCTACGACCCAAGGACCCAAGGATCTACGACCAAGGACTTCTCTTGTAAGTTTAAGTCCGCTAATCGTTTTTTGTTTCATCTTGCTGCTAATGGTTTGCATCAGTTTTCTTAAGTTTCGGAATTTGTATTATATATACTAATGCGTGCCTGTCTTCTTCTCTCAAACAGGATCAAACAGCAAACGAACGGCGGAGTAGCCTACAAAGGATCAGCGACAATGGCGGAACTGCAACCAAGAATTATTGATCTTCAACCAAGGATTAAGGATCTACAATCAAGGACCCAAGGATCTACGACCAAGGAACTTTCTTGTAAGTTGTAAGTCCGTTAATCGTTTTCTGTTTCATTTGCTGCCAACGGTTTGCTGCAGGTTTTCTGAAGTTTCGGATTTTTCTATTATATATACTAATGAGTGCCTGTCCTTTTCTCTTAAACAGGAGCATCCAGCAAACGAACGGTGGAGTAGCCTACAAAGGAGCAGCGGAGATGGAGGATCTGCAACCAAGAATAAATGCTCTTTAACCAAGGATCACGGATCTACAACCAAGGACCCAAGGATTTACGACCAAGGAACTTTCTTGTAAGTTTCAAGTTCGTTAATCGTTTTCTGTTTCATCTTGCTGCTAACGGTTTGCATCAGTTTTGTATTATATATACTAATGAGTGCCTGTCCTTTTCTCTTAAACAGGAACAAATGGCAAAGGAACTGTGGAATGGACTACAAAGGAGCAGCGAAAATGGCGGACCTGCAACCAAGGATCAAGGATTCACGACCAAGTAACTTTTCTGTAAGTTCACCGTTTTCTGTTTTATCTTGCTGATAACGGTTTGCATCAGTTTTCTTAAGTTTCGATTTTTTTGGATGATATATACTTATGATTGTCTGTTGTTTTTTCTCAAACAGGAGCAAATGGCAAAGGAACAGCAGAGCAGTCTACAAGGCAGCAATGGAGCAGTTCACAAGGCAGCAGCGGAGCAGTCTAAACGACAGCAGCGGAGCAGTCTACACGGCACCAGCGGAGCAGTCTACACGGCAGCAGCGGAGCAGTCTACACGGCACCAGCGGAGCAGTCTACACGGCACCAGCGGAGCAGTCTACACGGCAGCACCAGAGCAGTCTACACGGCAGCAGCGGAGCAGTCTACACGGCACCAGCGGAGCAGTCTACACGGCACCAGCGGAGCAGTCTACACGGCACCAGCGGAGCAGTCTACACGGCACCAGCGGAGCAGTCTACACGGCACCAGCGGAGCAGTCTACACGGCACCAGCGGAGCAGTCTACACGGCACCAGCGGAGCAGTCTACACGGCACCAGCGGAGCAGTCTACACGGCACCAGCGGCGGACCAGACTACAGGGCAGCAGCGGAGCAAGGACCAAGGATCAAGGATCTACGACCAAGGACTCAAGGATCTCCGGCAGGCTACACGGCACCAGCGGACCAGACTACAGGGCACCAGCGGACCAGACTACAGGGAAGCTGCGTAGCGGACTACAGGGAAGCTGCGTAGCGGACTACAGGGAAGCTGCGTAGCGGACTACAGGGAAGCTGCGTAGCGGACTACAGGGAAGCTGCGTAGCGGACTACAGGGAAGCTGCGTAGCGGACTACAGGGAAGCTGCGTAGCGGACTACAGGGAAGCTGCGTAGCGGACTACAGGGAAGCTGCGTAGCGGACTACAGGGAAGCTGCGTAGCGGACTACAGGGAAGCTGCGTAGCGGACTACAGGGAAGCTGCGTAGCGGACTACAGGGAAGCTGCGTAGCGGACTACAGGGAAGCTGCGTAGCGGACTACAGGGAAGCTGCGTAGCGGACTACAGGGAAGCTGCGTAGCGGACTACAGGGAAGCTGCGTAGCGGACTACAGGGAAGCTGCGTAGCGGACTACAGGGAAGCTGCGTAGCGGACTACAGGGAAGCTGCGTAGCGGACTACAGGGAAGCTGCGTAGCGGACTACAGGGAAGCTGCGTAGCGGACTACAGGGAAGCTGCGTAGCGGACTACAGGGAAGCTGCGTAGCGGACTACAGGGAAGCTGCGTAGCGGACTACAGGGAAGCTGCGTAGCGGACTACAGGGAAGCTGCGTAGTCAGGCTGGGCTGCAAGGAGGCTGCGCTTTTAAGGAGTAGACGAAGGAGGAGGCTGCGGAAGCGGTTGCTGCGGAAGCAGAGGCTGGGCGGGAGTGATGTGGCGAAGCAGTGGTGGTTGTGGCGAAGGGTTACGCGGATAGTGGCTGGATGGGAGCTCAAGGGTGGCCTAAGAGGTGGCTGAGTGTAGCGAGCTTAGCCGGTCCTAAGGCGAGTGGCGCGGTGTGGGTGTGATCTCGGCAGTGACGTGATGGAGTAAGGGCCGGTGCTTGGTTCTGGCAGTGCAAAGTCGCCCGGGAGGCTTTGCACTGCCTGGGCCCAGAATCAAGCAAATCCGGGCACCTGACACTCCAGGTAGCGTCATTGTTGAGGTTACACTCGCACCACAAAGTCAGCACCGCACCGGGGTGGGTGCGGGGGACTTGAGTCACTGTAAAGAGAAGGGAGACCGCACTGGCGTGGGTGTGGAGAGCTTCTCTACCTCTGAACGATGAGTCCACACTGGCGTGCGTGTGGAAATACTCGTTCTAGGTCACCTGAGGGTTCCTGTTTAGGAGGCTGCGATTTAACTAAAAGCCTCGGGGCTTTCTCACACTGGGGTGGGTGTGGGGGGTTCCGCCACTGGAAGCGTCAGCCTGGAGTCACAGGGAGAGGGGTGGAGCAGTGGAGGGAGCAGCCGCATGATGCAGCAGCTGCCTGATGCAGTTGAGGGGAGAAGCCGCCTGGTTCAGACAAGGGGAGAAGCCGCTTGGTGCAGACAAGGGGAGAAGCCGCCTGGTGCAGACAAGGGGAGAAGATCCCCTAAACCCTGAAGGGAGAAGCCGCCTGGAGAAGTTAAAGGGAGAATCCGCCTGATGCAGTTAAGGGGAGAAGGAGCCGCCTGGTCTAGAGAATGGGAGGTAGAAACCCCGAAACCTTGAAGCGGGGAATCAGCAGCTTGGTGCAGAGAAACGGGTGCAGAGCAGCCGCCTGGTGCAGAGGAGAAGGGGAGCAGCCGCCTGGTGCAGAGGAGAAGCAGTGAAGGGGAAGCAGCATTGAAGGGGAAGCAACAGGGAAGGGGAAGCAGCAGGGAAGGGGAAGCAGCAGTGAAGGGGAAGCAGCAGGGAAGGGGAAGCAGCAGTGAAGGGGAAGCAGCCGTCTGTTCTAGAGAAGTTGAGAGGAACCCATAAACTGCCTCCTGGTGCAGTTAAGGGGAGAAGCAGCCGCCTAGTGCAGTTAAGGGGAGAAGCAGCCGCCTAGTGCAGTTAAGGGGAGAAGCAGCCGCCTAGTGCAGTTAAGGGGAGAAGCAGCCGCCTAGTGCTTTTAAGGGGAGAAGCAGCCGCCTAGTGCAGTTAAGGGGAGAAGCAGCCGCCTAGTGCAGTTAAGGGGAGAAGCAGCCGCCTAGTGCAGTTAAGGGGAGAAGCATCCGTCTGGTCTAGAGAAGGGGAGAGGAACCCCTAATCCTTGAAGGGGACAAGCAGCAGCTTGGTGAAAGGGGAAAAGCAGAAACAGCCGCCTGGTGCAGAGGAGGGGTGAAGCAGTGTAGCAGTGAAGGTGTGCAGTGGAGGGGAGAAGCACCCTAAAGGAGTTTTTTTAGCCGAGTGGTACGGCAGTACCCTAATTGTCAGGGTCTCAGCCCGTAGGCACCCCACCCAACGGGATGCTGATGGGACGGATTTTTTATCCTCCATGGCTTGTGCACAAGCCTACCACCTAGAAAAAAAAAAAAAAAAAAAAAAAAGGCGTAGGGAAGCAGTGAAGGGGTGTAGCAGTGAAGGGGTGTAGCAGTGAAGGGGTGTAGCAGTGGAGCAGTGACGCATTGTAGCAGTGAAGCAGTGTAGCAGTGTAGCAGTGAAGCAGTGTAGCAGTGTAGCAGTGAAGCAGTGAAGCAGTGTAGCAGTGAAGGGGTGTAGCAGTGTAGCAGTGAAGGGGTGTAGCAGTGTAGCAGTGGGGGTGTAGCAGTGGAGCAGTGAAGCAGTGTAGCAGTGAAGGGGTGTTGTAGTGTTGCAGTATAGTAGTGTAGCAGTGAAGAGGTGTAGCAGTGTAGCAGTGTAGCAGTGAAGCAGTGTAGCAGTGACGAGGTGTAGCAGTGTAGCAGTGTAGCAGTGGAGCAGTGGAGGTGTAGCAGTGGGGGTGTAGCAGTGTAGCAGTGAAGCAATGTATCAGTGTAGCAGTGGGGGTGTAGCAGTGGAGCAGCAGTGGAGCAGTGAAGCAGTGTAGCAGTGAAGAGGTGTAGCAGTGAAGCAGTGTAGCAGTGTAGCAGTGTAGCAGTGGAGGTGTAGCAGTGTAGCAGTGAAGCAATGTATCAGTGTAGCAGTGGGGGTGTAGCAGTGCAGCAGTGAAGCAGTGTAGCAGTGAAGGGGTGTAGCAGTGAAGCAGTGTTGCAGTGAAGGGGTGTAGCAGTGTAGCAGTTAAGGAGTGTAGCAGTGTAGCAGTGTAGCAATGAAGCATTGTAGCAGTGTAGCAGTGTAGCAGTGTAGCAGTGAAGCAGTGAAGGGGTGTAGCAGTGTAGCAGTGGAGGTGTAGCAGTGGGGGGTGTAGCAGTGGATCAGTGAGGCAGTGTAGCAGTGAAGCAATGTATCATTGTAGCAGTGGGGGTGTAGCAGTGCAGCAGTGAAGCAGTGTAGCAGTGAAGGGGTGTAGCAGTGTAGCAGTGTAGCAATGAAGCAGTGTAGCAGTGTAGCAGTGAAGCAGTGAAGGGGTGTAGCAGTGTAGCAGTGGGGGTGAAGGGGTGTAGCAGTGTAGCAGTGAAGCAGTGAAGGGGTGTAGCAGTGAAGGGGTGTAGCAGTGAAGCAGTGTAGCAGTGAAGGGGTGTAGCAGTGAAGCAGTGTAGCAGTGAAGGGGTGTAGCAGTGAGGGGGTGTAGCAGTGAAGGGGTGTAGCAGTGAAGGGGTGTAGCAGTGAAGGGGTGTAGCAGTGAAGCAGTACAGCAGTGAAGGGGTGTAGCAGTGAAGCAGTGCAGCAGTATAGATGTGGGGACGCAGTGAGGGGTGAAGGGGTGAAACAGTAAAGAAGTGAAGCATTGTAGCAGCGACAGTGTACCGGTGAATCTGTAGTGGTATAGGGCGAGAGGAAATAGTCGTGACTTGACAGAGCAGATAAACAAGGGTGGCAGAGCTGAGAAGAATAAGACTAGAAGCGGACTAAAGAATAAGACTAGGAGCCGACTGAAGAAGAAGGGGAGTAAAAGGGGGGCAGAGAAGAAGTGGAGTAGAGGAGAAGGGGAGCTGAGAAGTGGGAGCAGAGAAGGGGAACGTGGAGCAAGGGGGAGTAAGGGGGTACAGAAAAAGGGGAGTAGAGAAGAGGAGTGGAGCAGTGAGTAATGGAGGAAAGGTGGATGCATGGATGTGACACGGAAGCAAGGTGGATGCATGGATGTGACACGGAAGCTACAGTGCTGGGGAGGAAGGGTGGTTTTTTGGAGAAATGAGGAGCACTTACATCGGAGGGCAGATGTTGAAGCTGATGTGTACCTCCATGTTTTGCTTTATGCATTCAGCTTGTTACTGGTCTCGTCGTACCAATATTCGATTATTGTTCCAGATTATTAAATGCATCTGAATTTGCATAATATTCTGAAGATATAGCTTTAGCTTGAGCGCATCCCAAAATCTCAGACATCTTACGGTACGATTTTACACGACCCCTGATAGCATTGAACTTCCTCTGGATCGGGATGTACGGGACTATGAGTGTAGGCTGCTCTGATTTTACACCACCCCTGATAGCATTGAACTATCCGCTGTTGCTCTTTGTGAGATGTAGATTCGACTGTTGGAAACAATAAGTCGTAATCGCATCTGTCGTGTCGAATCACCGCACCAGATGCGAAGTAAGCCATATCGAAGCACCAGCGAGTCAACCCTCGGAGCAGGCCCCAAATTTCAAGGGTAAAATACCCTTTTTGCCCTGATGGTAGGCCGCTTTTTCCCAGTTACCCTTGCAAAAACAGGGTATCAAATTTATTACCCTAGAGCAAACAGGCTAAGATTTGATTTACACTGATAACGATTTCTGTTACCCTGCCGATATCAGGGTGCACTGTATACTTCACAGATACCGAATCCTCTTAGCGAGAGTTTTCCTTGCGAAGCTGCGAAAAAATTTTTTGCACCAGCCGGATTCGAACCTAACCCTCGGAATTCTAGCCTCACATCTGACTAACTGAGACATGTTCTGGTGGAGTCTTGCTCTAAGAACTAAAATCGATAAATAAAAACCATTTCATCCTTTTAAAATCAGTGTACATGTTTTTTTAGGCTGTTTTTGGCAGGGTACGAAATATTTTACCCTAACAGTCAGGGTACTGGGGGCCTGGAACCCTGATTTGAAAGAGTGGACCTAAACCTATTTTGGGCCCTGCCTCGGAGGTTGAGAGGTTGCTGGAGGTTACGCGAAAGTCAAAGGTCAGCAACCTTTGACCCGACAAGTACAGTGCGACAGCAAGGTGTCAGAATATTATGCTCTAGCCT